TTAGCACCATGCTTGCATTGGATCTTATCTATCTATCTATCTATCTATTTATTTATTTATTTATTGTGCTTGAGAATTAACTTATCTTAGAGGCTTAGGATTCTTCTGCTGGCACATTCAGTCTCCAGCACAGTTCAGGAGACCTCAGGAGCTCATCTGGCCTAACCCCCTGCTCCAGCAGGGCAAGTTGTCCAGACCATGCCAAGGAGGCTTTTGAAGATCTCCAAGGAGGAGGCTCCACCACCTCTCTGGGCAGCCTGTGCCACTGCTCCACCACCTGCACAGCACAGAAGTGCTGCCTGATGCTCAGGGAGAACCTCCTGTGGTCCAGTTTGTGCCTACTGCCCCTTGTCCTGGCACTGGGCAACACTCAGAAGTGCCTGGTCCATCCTCTCTTCACCTTCCCGTCAAGTATTAGACATTGATGAAATCCCTCTGAGCCTCCTCTTCAGTTCAGAAATCTTCAGTATAGGCAATGGATTTGCACAAGAGCATTTTTGTGATTCCTGTTCTTCATGGAATGAAGCCTGAGGCCATGCTCAGGAGCTCAGAGCATTTTCTGACTTCTCCATATTTGTTTTGCTTCTGACTTCGCCACTATTTGGCAAAATTGGCTCACTGTAACGCTAATCTTGGTTATATGATCCACTTTGCTTCTTTGTAGCCTCTGAACCTGTCTTTCACTCCCTTTTCAGAAATTCTCCTCTCAAGGTAGTGCCTCAACAGGAAGTCCACATGTCCTGTTGTTAGGAGGGCTCCATGGACGTCCTGTTGACATAAGCCTGTAGTTAAAGATGCTACTGCAGCTGTTTCCTTGTAAAAGGATTTACATGAATTAAACTCAGAAATGCAGAAACAATCACATTCAGAAGAACGAGAGTAGCAAACACCCTGCAGGCTGTTCAGGAAGGAAGCTGAGATCAGCTTCAAGTGCTTCCAATCCGCTTGTGCATGGTTCTCTGTGAATTGGCTAGGATGCTGTCAACAGCTTTATACCATCTTCATCACAGACGGATGTCACTCCTTCTGAATTGTGTGAGTTCTCTGACCTTTTTGTATAACATCAGAAATGGGAAAAAAATAAATAAAAAAGACTATGATGTGTGTGTTCTCTATATAAAACAAGCATCTCATTCAAGCAGCCTGTTCAACAAAGCTGAATCTTACCATCATAATTGTTTTGAAACTTCACAGAGCCTGGGATGTATGTAAGATCTTTCAATCAAGCTTTAGGTATGCAGGTGTGTGCACAGTATTTGCCATGGTGCACTAAATGCATGAGTTGTCATTTCTGGGAGAATAAAACTGTGGACATGGAGATGACCATATGTGAAAGAACATTTACTTCTAGTGGTTTCCCCTGACCAGCTCTTCCAAATTGCTGTGGATGAGCAAAGCAAATTGATGTTCAAGCTAACTTCTTCCAAAAGTTGGAGTGGCCAATAACACTTTTTTCTTATCCAAATTCACAAGAAATATCACCAGTCTTACATAAGAGTTTGTCTGTGTTTGGCACACTTCTGTTTTGCTGTCCTAGGGACTACACTGTCTAACAAAGACCCATGGCTTCTGTATACATAAAACGAGGTGGAACAGAGTCTTACAGTGATAGTTCTTGTTAAGACAGGTGGTTACTGCAAAGACTACCACCCTGAGTCAGCAGCAATATAAACTATGTGATCTGTGCAGAATAACACATAGCTACGTCAGCTGTGCAGGTCCTGCTGGAGGACCTGCCATTACTGGACCAGCATTATTACCATCAGTTGTGGTAGGTAGCCAGGTTAAGCAGTATGTCAGCATGGTTTCTGCTGAACGCGAATGTGAGAGCATGTGGCTTGACCCAGCTGTAGCATTGCAATAAAGAACTTGTGCAAACGATGCACTAATCTTTGTCATTTCTGCATCTCTGGTATACTGTGATGTCAAATATTAAGTCATATTACGTGTTCTTTGACAAAACAGAGCCTGACACAGAGTGAAAGAAGATTTAAGAATGATATGATATGGAATGGTCTATAAATCTTATATAGAAATCAGTTAGTTAGTTAGTTGTTTATTTATATCCTTCCAGAGAAGTCTTAGGTTCTGGGTCACATGAATCATCACAGCTCAAGGGTTCTCTGGCTTCCAGCTTTGGCGAAGAATGATTGTTCAGCCTGTTTTCCTAATGTCAGCAATTCTAGGAAAAACATTTCATACATAGTGGTCTCATCTTTCCCTTCTGTTTTTTAATGCTTTTATCTTGAACGTCTTCTGGTCAAGGTATCTCCAGAAGCTGAAGGAATCAAGACTCCTGGGTTGATGGTTTGCATATCACTTTTTGTTGAAATGGATCACCATTTTGTCACTCCCCATATTCATAGGTTTATGATGAATATCAAGCTAATTCTTCTATTTAGAGGAATTTTAGCTTCATGTTTCAGGCTTTCATGAGCGCACCACTTAAACCCTTAATCTCTTACCTGCTTTCTTTGTATCTTTTTACCAAAACCAGAATTTCTATTATGCTTACCTCAGATTTCTTCTTAATTTTGTATGAAAGTTTTATAGTATCATAGAATATCCGAAGTCAGAAGGAATTCACAAGGATCATCAAGCCCAATACCTGGCTCTACACAGTGTCACCCAAAAACCAGACCCTATGTCACACAGAATCACAGAATCACAGAATTTCTAGGTTGGAAGAGAACTCAAGATCATCGAGTCCAACCTCTGACCTAACACGAGCAGTCCCCACTAAACCATATCCCTAAGCTCTACATCTAAACGTCTTTTGAAGACTTCCAGGGATGGTGACTCCACCACCTCCCTGGGCAGCCTGTTGCAATGCCCGACCACCTCTGGGAGCAGAACCTTTCCCCAACCCCCAGCCTGACCCTCCCCTGTCCCAGCTCCATGCTGTCCCCTCGGGTCCTGTCGCTGTCCCCAGAGAGCAGAGCTCAGCGCCTGCCCCTCCGCTCCCCTCGTGAAGGAGCTGCAGGCCGCCATGAGACCTCCCCTCAGCCTCCTATTCAGGATGTTTCTAGAACATACATAGTATTAAATAGTAAAACCTTGTTTGGAAGATTGTAAAAGTGTTTGTTAGCATATACAATAATATGCTTATCACATATCAAAGTATTTTCTCAAATTATTAATGACATGGTAAAAGAGGTGCCTTTGAACTTTGTATCTTCTGCTTCCAGCCGAAATATGTATGGTATTTAATATATGACTGATCACTGAAAGTAAAAAAATAACTTTTCACTTCTCTCTGAGTTTGGTTATATATTTTAAAGTTAATATTACTGTGGTATACCTTTGGCTTCTAGGTCCACTTACTTTCAGTCTAATGAGGACAATAGTTTGGGGGCAATCAAATAATTGGAAGGTTCCCTTGTTGCTGGGGAGAGGGGACAGGAATTTCACAAGGTTTTCAAATCAGAGGAGACAGAATTAATGTTCCATTGATTTTTATGATGTGATTCATGGTTCTCACTTTTTGCATCTGTTATTCCTGTCTGTCTGTAGACTCAGGCAGTCATTTCCTATCAGTTAAACTCAGTTTATGTTATCAACCTTTCAGGTAAAGGAGAATTCTCTGAATAGCAGAATATCTTTATGGGGGAGTTAGACTTGAAATTGGAAATCCAGTGCTGCAGATATTATTTACTCCTTATTCATAGAGGCAAGGCACCAGCAGAGGCAACTATCTATAGCATTTTCTTTTGGCATTCTTAGAAATGCAGGGGGCTAACATGAATACATCTGTTTGGAACTTTGAGGAAATTCAGATGTGGATGCAAAACTCACAGTTAAACCTCTAAGGCTGCAAAACAAGGATAGCAAATTAGGGAATTTTTATTCAGAGCTCAGCTCTGCTGCTTAGATCTATGTCTATTTAAAAGTGATTTGTGAATACCAAAATGAACAAACAAACAAAACAAAACAAAAACTTGGAACTTTGAGGGAAAGGGAGGTACTGAGTGCTTCAGAATTGCAAAGGTAAGAGAGATTTGACACATAAAAGTACATTTCAATCAATTTATATTTGTTTTCATCTTTCAGAGCTTCTCTTTCAAATTACTCTGGCTCTCACTCTGACAATGTCTATGTAAACTCTTCTGCTGATGTTATATCTGCAACTGAATGCCATAGGAAAATGATATCATCTTACTACAATTTCCATAGAAGTGCATTTAAAGAAGTTACAAAAATAAAACAGTTAAAGACATGTGGTTTGGTAATACAGAATTGGAAACAACTCACTGCATTTTGTAGTCTGACTGTGCTCAAAGCAGAGTTCCCTAGATTACGTGACATGACTATATGTTATGATTACAGGTGTTAACCTTTCAAAATAATATGTTCAGTTTCTTCTTTTAAATACAAGATGCTTATAGGTATAATACTTGCTGATATTTGTTCACCGACAGTCTCTCTTGTTTTCAAACCCCACATATTTAAACTTGTGGAGTGTTAGATTGATGTTTCTTTTCACTCAAATGTCATATTCATCAACGGTATTGTGCTAGCAGATTGTTAAACAGACAAGGTGACTTGCAGAGTGACAGTGTAGTGATGTGATGTCCCAAACCATTAAAATATAGTAATGATGTGTGTGGTTTTTTTCTGTTTTTTTTTTTTTTTTTTTTTTTTTTTTTTTTTTTTTTTTTTTGTTCTATTCGTTGTTGTAACATAATGTGTTTTTTGTTTGTTTGTTGGGTTTGTTTTCAGTTAAATGAAGGTGAGATGGTTTCTGAGTAGATCTGTTGCTTGAAAAAATGGTAGTTAATGAATAACAAAACCTGGAGTTAAGTTGTACCTTCGCAGAGAGCTGAGAAATGCTAATGACTTAGGAAGAACTAATAATGAGAAACTTTATAATCAGAAAAAAGATAAATTGTGCTATGGCAAAAGAATTAAATTACTTGATGCACTATATGTTTCTACATAATCAGTTTTGCATGATCATTTTTGAAGAAAAAGTAAGTTATTTTATGATTTTGCTTGAACAGCCTCCCAGGAATACCACAAAAAAGGAAGGAATTTCTGTTTAACATTGTATCAACTCAAGTGTCTTTCTCAACTCATCAAACTCTTTTTATTAATGGAAGAAAAAATTGAAGAGCTCTCCGCAGAAATTTTGTTGGTGCCTTTATTGACTAAGAATAAGAATGTTCAAGGTAATGAAAGCTTTTCCTTATTTATTGATTTTATCAGGTGCAAAAGGATAATTTTATATGATTTTCAACAATAGTTCTGTAATTTATGCCATCATATTATAGAAGCAACTGTATTACTATATTCACTAAAAATCTTTTTTGAAATAGACAGATTTACATTTCAATACAATGATTTCTAGAAAAGAACTGATGGTTGTGTATTAAGATGTGATGTACAGTTGTTATTGATGAACCATCAAACATTGTAACATTGTGACTGTTACCGAGTTTCTTATAAATACCTTATATTTCTTATAGAACAAAATATTATATGAAGTCTGCATTCGTTGAAACTGACTATTTCTGTACTTGCCCTTGAAATCTTTTTTTTTTTTTCAAGAGAGAAAAACAGACTTATACATCAGTTTTATTGATCTTAATATGATCAAATAAATGTTTTAGTATGCAGACTTGCTTTCACCAATAGTTCCAACAAGTGCTTACTATTATGTACTAAGTTTAGGTGTCAGTAGCTGTTTTTGTAAAAGAAGAATCTACAAGAGAATATAAAATGTTTCACTCTCAAGCTTGATGCGCATATTTACTTTAGATTCCAAGCTTGCTCTGTTTTTAGTCTAATAGAATTCTTATCAGATGAGGACAACCTAAAATCATGAAAATTCAGGTGAATAACACCTTTTAGCACATTATGCTGAAAAATGTTCTTCTATTCTGCTGCTTCTGCCAGTGGAGAGATTCCAGGTCACCAGAGAACAAGTTGTTTCAAGAGCTTTGATTATATTGCAGGAAAGGATCAGACCAGAAATGAGGCCAGGCTGCTTAGGGAGAAAGGACAGGTGGAGTCAAATATTTGGTATCTCTGTAGTCAAGCTGCAGGCTGAGAAACAAGGTGTTTTGGGAATGTGGTCTCAGAATACTAAATTGGTAAAAACTGGAAAAAAAAAAAAGAAAAAAAGATGAAAAGAGTTCAGAGGCACACGTTGTTGATAGATTCTTCATCTGAAACACTGACACTCTAAAATAAATAAATGCAGGTCAGACTATGTATTCTTAGAATTTACATCAAAGCTCAAATAAAATTTGTATTCTAGTCCCATTTTTACTATTGGTTTCAATGTATTTCAGATTCCTTTAATCTCTCTAAGCTATTATACATGATGTTTTATGTTTTATGGCCTTGATCCTACAAAATGTTATAGTAAACTTCTCACAGGGCTAATGAGGACGTTAGGGTACACAAGCAGTAAGGATAATTTTAGATATTCTTTTTATTAGTGGTTTCTGAGAAGAAAACTTTAAAAATTTGAAAAATTCTTAAAAGGGCAATTGACCTGTCATGTTTAGCTAATGACATGATCTTAAATAATTCAGAAAACATAATGATTTCAATGTCAACAAGAAATATTTTACTTTTCAGAAAATGTAGTAAGGATTTTATCCTGAGGCATATCTCCAAGCTGAACAGCATTCAGAAGTGTTCCTCAAAAGTGCATTCAGCCTCTTTTTTGGAGAAATACTCTTTTACAGTAATCATGTCTATAATAAGCAGATTCCTAAATGGCATCTCTACTTACCAAATCTGAAAGGGGAATATGATTAGATCAGGTTATAGGAAGTGGTCTTCTGGTTAGAAGGCTTGTTCTAAAGAAAATGTACAATTACTCTTACTCTGAGACACAGGGGAAGGTAGAGGCAGATCTTTTCAGGTGATGTTCATGAAGTCATCAGACATATCCTTTTTTTTTTTTTTTTTTTTCCCAGTGTTACTGTTCTGATCAGATGGTTTTGTTCACAAAACTGTGTTCAGTTATATCAGTTTCTGAAGAATATGTGAAGAGAAGACTTAGCCAGAAAAAAAAAATAAAAATAAAAATAAAAATAAAAAATCTTGACTAAAGGAAGGGTTTATTAGGGTTATTTTTACTTCATGTTGTTAGAAATATAAGTTGTAGTGATGAAGTGAAAGCTGATTTTTCTGTAACTGTCCTACATTAGGCTGATATTTTTATTTATTTATTTATTTTTTTCCCAGTGATGAAGGCTGACTTTTGATAAGAACAATTTATTAGAAACCTCATTTTATTTTCATCAGAATACATTATAATATGTGAATATAAAATATGATGGTCATCTTCTCTACTTATTTAAAAGCTTTATCACGAGAAATCTTGTTTAATTTAACAATATATGGTGTAGATCTGTGCAAAGCAGCTTTAAATTGAGTCAGGTACGAGTATCAGGTATACAATGCAGCATAGGCTGCAGAACTAGCCTAAGAAGCAGAGCAAATTAGCCCAGATTGGACTGTGTGCTGCTGTTGATAGACAGCTACCCTTACTGTCTCTCACTAGTTTAAAGCTAGGTTGGGTGAATGCAAACTCACCTGCAGTCTCTGCAGTGTAGGTGTTTCTGAAATATTAGTGCTCTGCAAGTAGTACTGGTGGCAAATTATGAGAAGTTGGCCAATTCACAAAGGGTAGGTGAATATCCAAGTGAACTAAAGTTTGCTAGACATCACATAGACTTGAACCTTGCGCTTGCTTCCTTTTCTTTCTGGTTACTTTTAGTATTGAGAGGAGCCTTTTTATCTTTGTAATTCATGCAGAGATGCAACAAAAATAACATGTTTTGATATGCTTATGCCAAGCGTTGAGTTTATTTGTATAGCTGTTTCAATGGCAGTTTTAGTTGATTTTTGTTCAGTGTATCCCATAGTACTTCAATCTTGATATATAGAACATGTAAAGTTCCATCAGAGACAAAGTGGTTCTTTGGACAGTTCATCTTTTTAATTTTTTTTTTTGTCCCAAAGATGGTATCTGAGTTTTATCTAAATCAGACTGTTTCTTGGCCCTCATTTTTCCCTAAACCCAGCGATGACAAAGAGCAATGGCTGCATAAATTGGATGTAAGAAGAACACTTAGGGTTTATCACAGAAGAATCAAAGATTTCATATCTTCTGACAGATTGTTTGTACTCTTAGGGGGTCTTAAGAGGGGTCAAATGGCTTCTAAGAGTTCCTTAGCTAGATGGTTAAGGGATTGTATTAGGGAGGCGTATGTAGTTAAGGGTAAAGAGGCTCCCAGGGTTTGTAAAGCTCATTACACTAGGACTATAGCTGCTTCTTGGGCGGAGAGGTCGAAGGCTTCCACATTGGAAATTTGCAAGGTGGCCACCTGGGCTTCTCTTCATACTTTTTCATTGCATTATCGCTTGGATGTAGTCTCTTCTGCGGATTCTGCTTTTGGTAGGAGGTTGCTTGTGAACCAAAAAAAGAACAGTGAAGAAAAGAAAGACATGTAGTTCACAGTTCTAGCTGGCAACAAGACAAGTTTCTTTGCAGTGTGCACAATGGAATCCTATGAAGACCAATTTAGGCGGTTGAAAATAGATGTTAGAGGGAAGTACTGCCTACCAGTGTTCTCTGATGGTAACCCCATGGCAGACAATAGCACCAAAGGAAACAGTGAACCAGAGTGAACTCTGTAGGGAGATGGATGTAGAGAGATTTTTTTAGGTGGTACGGATAGTTCTGAGTTCAGTTGGAGAGTTCTATATCTGACATCTTCTGGAATATATTCAGAATACTGGTTTTCCCAAATTGTTTTACATAGATGGAAAAAAAAATCTGTGAATAACATTTTCCACTCTAACTTTTTTTCAGTAGTCTCCATCTAGTCCTTCCAGATTTTATGTTGTGACTTTTCCTTATCAGAACTAAGTTTTGCATGTGATTTCAAATTATATTTTCATTATCTAAACTCAATTAAAATTAAAAAAGAAGTATAAGTACTCATTTAATCTCTTATCAGTGTAGTGTTTGATTTTTCTCTTAAATATAATGAGGAAAAAAAAAAAAATGAAAAAGTTCTCATGATAATAGAAATGATGATGGAACCCTGAACTTTAGTGTGGCATCTGGACAAGACTAACACTCTGTCTTTCTGAGGAAAAGTATCTGTATTTTTCTAACAGTTACAGAACTTTTGTTTTCATTGTTTCATATCCTTACTTCCTGTACTAGAAACAATAGGTTTCAGAAAATGGAAGGAGTAACCAACCATCTTCTGTTTTTTCTTGAAGAGACATTCAACCATTTCTTCTGCAGGTGTCTCATCATGCCTACTGTGATGAGATAGTCTAGTTCTTAATTTACATTCAGTTGAATTCCCTGAGATGTTCTGACCTACCTAGTACATGCAGCATCACAGGAGCTGTTCTCTTTGAAGGAACCTGGAACATTAAGCTGCAGTCAAAGGTTAAGCAGAAGATCTTGGTTTAGGATCATGCCAAATTGCATTCTCTTCCCATCTTTAAGGTAGATTTCTTTTCCCTCTGGCTTTTCAGAAACCTCTTGTTGAGACTTTTAAGAAATCAAAAACATCTAACGTACTTTCATCTGTGCCTCACTTTTCTTTTTTTTTTTTTTCATTCCAGTGAGAAAGGTGAACTTTGGACAGATCAGATAATGAGTACCAAGAAAAGCTTTTTCCAATGGAGCTCTTTGAAAACACTGTGGGCAAAGTTGTCAGGCCCTTAGGTTTACAAGCTTTGCCTCAGGGGACCTGGAAGACTTGCAAAGGTCTTTCCTTCACAGCATAAGAAATCATTTACTCTATACCCTTTTCTGGAGAGTGTAATAAGAGGAGTGCAGAATCAAATTTGTGGGGTACATCCTCCTAATAGACTTTGAAGTTATAAAGATTCAAAAAAAAAAAAAAAGTGTGATTTTTGCTTTGCTTTTGAAGCAAAATGTTCAAGTAGCTTCTTTAAGAAATACATAATTATCAGCAGATCAATCTGAAGTGGAGATGGGATTTATGTCAGAAAGGATTTGATTTCAGGTGTACATTTTCAGTATATGTTTTATTACAGTTTGCTGAGTAAATGTACTGAGTATAGAACAAAAAAATAATAATTCCATTATTGAAGAATGGAAGTAGGAGGCTCTGTTATTGAAGAAAGAAGGTCGGAGGCTTTTTAATCTGCTACATGTAAAATATGTTTTGTTTCTTCTCTGTATATGTATTTATTGGGGAATGGTATTTTCCTGTTATCGAAGACATATTGTTTCCAATACAGTTTCAATAAAAATTCTGGATGAGCCTACTGAATTCAACTAGCTGCTCTGGTGACACTTCCTTACCTTATTTACAGTTATTGAGCAGTCATAAAAAGTTTCCTCAAGGCTTACCTACTCTATGCTGATGTTAGATGAAAATACTCTGACAGTTCTTTAGAACCTAAATGTTATGGAAAAAAATAAAAATAAATAAATAAATAAATAAGGAAGCTTCAGAATTCTGTAAAAAAATAATTTACTAGAACTTTTTAAAGGAAAGGTATATGCATATATATATATGTATATGCATATGTATATATACATATATAAACAGTGCACAAAGTCTCGCTGTCATAATCTTTACAAAAATATAACAATACTGAATTGGACAAAAAATGAAATATGTTGAAGGCAGTGGAAACATAGGCAACAATATTTGCTTTCAAGAGAAGACCTATCCCAAACGAATTTTAAGCATGAAAAGTTGGCTAAAAAAGTACTGATTTTAGGTAAAACATTTGATAAAATCTTATTTTGAATACCTGCTGTTAAAATGATTCTAACTGCCTGCCTGAGATACTACAGTAACACAGATTGTGAGCAATTTATCAAGTTTGTAGACTGTAAGTTTCAAGAAAGATACAGCAAGGGTTTGTGGTTGATCCGGTCTTCTATAGCGATGAAGAACATCAGTTTTAAGCATGGAGATATAGAATATACCCTTGAGAGGGAGCAAGTACGGAAAAAAACCTGATTCTTCCTTCCACATCTTCTGCTCCTTTGTGACATTTGTATTGTGCTCTTTCTGCAGTTTCTCTTCTCTAACAGCAATATGAGTATGGCAACACATATTTATGTCTTTATGCATAAATGGAATTTGAAGTTTGAAATTTTGGAGAAGAGAGGCCTCAAAGAATTTTTGTAGAAAATGGTAACTGTCTAGGTAGGAATGCTTCCTCCTACCTATTTTCTGAGTTCCTGTCTGCAAAGGGAACTAATTTGGACCGAGTAGCTTCACTACAGCAGCTTGCACTTACTATAGTACCATCCTCTTGGACAAAGCTGCACTTTTATTTCCCAGGGGAGTTTGCAAGATGGTCCGAAGAGAAGTGAAGTAGCAGGACGGGAAGGGAGTAATTTTATATGTATCTCTGTAGAAACAGTTGTCCAGGGGAAGGCTGTGCTAGCATCTAAAGTGCCTAGGTTTTGGGGAGGTTGTAGCTAGTGTGCAGTGACTGATAAAAGGTGTGAGGGCATCCCTGCTGGCTGGAGGTTAAAATGAACTAGATAAAATATTTTATATATGTGTGAGCACACATGCACATGTGTATATATGTGTATATATGTATATACAAATAAAAGACAAGAGTGCTCAGGCTGCTAGTTAGAAAAGGAAGTGGGGAAGTCTAGTAACAGTCTATTGATTTAAAAAATGAAGGAACATTTAAAATGACTAATGCTAAGGGGAGGATCATTTGGCTCTCTGTCTCTGGTCCTTCTGATCTGGCAGATCCAAATCTGCCATCAGCTAAATACTTCTCTCAGCTTTGAGTTCTGGATAACTTTGGAGAGCAATTCTACAAATACAGAAGGATTTTAGGTTAAGTACTAATTTTTCTTTAAAGTGTTGATAAAAAATATTAATAACTGATCTAAAATTGTGCTCACTGTTAGAATAGAAGATATAGCTATAAAAACAGATGAATTGCCAGGAAAAGTAAGGAAAATTTCAGGTAGAAAGTACAGAATAAATATGAGTAAAAATATCCAGTCAGTTCTCTTTTTCATTCTGAAGTAAATTCTAAAGAAAGGTATAGGAAACTTCATCATAACATGCGTTAGAACAAATCAAAATAAGTACTGTATTTATGGTACTGTCTGTAACACCATACTTTGAATGATCAGAGGGCTAGGTTATCTGGCTAGTCTCTTCTCTTTTTATATTCTACCAATTTATCTTTCATTTTTCATAGCTCAAATCTGTTTTGTTTTGTTTTGTTTTCCTGACCTGTTTTGTATGAAAACAGTTCCTGGGAAAATAATAACAACAATAATAAAAAAATTGAAACTTTAGAATGCTGTATGGGCATATGAAGATTGGAATGTTCATTTTCAGAGGTTGAATTGTTTAGGAGAAAAGTAAAATCTACTCTAGGTAAATGAAATCCCATCTATTTCCACATACTGTATATTTGATAGAAATAGGACCTCTTTAGACCCTGGATATGTATGCTACTAGTATCTTCAAGTGACTGAAGACATTTAAGTTTACGTGTAAGAGATAATATTTAGTAATACGTGACAGCACTCAATCATTTAAAACTTCTTGGATGGAATTTCAAATCAGTCATATTAAATTAAGAATATCTACACCTGTGTTGTTTGCCATCTTTATGCTAGGACATGGATTTTAAAAATATTAGGTTGTTTGGTTTTATTCTCCTATTCTTTTTGATACACTGATGGAAATAATGTTTACCCCAGATGTTTGCTTGTCCCTGTCAAACCAGGCAATATTTCCATTACTTGAAGTATTACTTGAAGTAATGAGTGAGCTTTGTACCAGCCCGTCTCAAGGAGCCTCACCTGTTCTTTTTTCATTATTTTATTTATAATAACTGTATTAATTAAATGTCTTTTTATTCTTACCATATTGGCATTTCCAAATAAGTAGAAACTATAAAAACACGGTAGTGTGCAATTCATTTAATTTATTGAACAGAAAATAGAAATTAACTTCTACACAGCTGTTCTAACATTATCTGTTCTCCCTAGGAATAGATGACTGTGCAATCAGTATAAAAATGAATTAATGACAAAAGAAACTGTATTTTACACATTATACGTGTGTATGTATAAAATATGAATACAATGGAATGTGGATTTCATCATGTTATATAAAAGGAGCTGTGTATAACCTGAATTTGACTTTATCATAACATTAGTATTCCACTACATCTTGTTGAGTTTTTTTTTTTTTTTTATGCTTCATATTGATATATCAGAAGGTGTTGTAGGCTGCTGATTTTTCTACAGAATTAATCTTAACTTTGATCCCCTTTATCATACTGTGCAGGAGTTCTGAAGAAAGCTAGTGGGGAGCTTTTAATAGGAGAAACTAGAGCAAATGAAACCAGTGTGCTTCCTGAACAGTTACTTCAGGTAAAAGAGGTGAGTATGAAAAGAGTCTTGCACTTTGTGGGAGATTTTCTTTTGTCTGTGTCTCCAATGCCACCTGACACCATATTCATTATAAACACCTATTCTGAGAGTTTCATTATTTAGCTACTGCAATTAATTTGAGGTGCAAACTCTCTGCTAAGATGGAGTAAAATCTTAGGGCACTCATAAGGAATTGGTTAGTGTTGTTAAGGTTGAGCAATAATAGAATAGATTTAGCATTAGAAATATAAGATACTTCATAACCAAACGGTAAAAACATGCTAAAATATGTTAGCTTTTATTCAATATTAAATATATTGTAAAATAAATAAGAATCTTTAAAAAAATCGTTCAAGTTCTAAGCATTTGATCATCATGCTTCCTGTAGAGATACATACATACAGATGATCAGTTTCTTTGATGTCAACAAACTACTGTGTAGAAAGCAGTGTTCTTTGTAGAAGGTACATACAAGATTAAGTTTTAGTAGTCGTTTACTACTAAACAAATTTTTACTGTTGATTTTATGGCACCTAAATGCTCTAGCAAGTCTGATGCTGTGCAGTGGTGGAATTTAATTTCCTAATGGCTGAGTTTTGATGCTGAAATGGCTTTTTGAAATGTACTTTTAAACGGTTTGTGGGACAGATGTTCCTGTATCTTATAGATTAAAAAGAACATTTTCTGAAGATTGAGCTGTCCTTGACCCAAAATCACAGGGAAAATAAATCAATAAATCAATAAATAAAAATGAAAATGAGATATTACAAAAAAGGGAATTACAGAAATGGGTATCTGGGTAGGCTGTCTCTGTGCTCTCTGGAGTTGAGTATTGGGGCTGGGGAAGGGGCATGGAAGGAGAAGGCAGCTTCTAAATTGGAGTAAAGCTGGAAGTGCAAGCCCCTTTGGTTTGTAGCCTTTCATTGTCTTTCAGTTTAATTTTGTAACTACAGCTTGTTAGGAATACTTCTCTTTTCTCCTACAATGTTCTCATAGTGGGGATCTTTACACTACATCTTACACCACTGAAATATTTCTCTTACAGTGCTGCAATTCTCAGTTGGTCACTTCTGGTAAGCATGAAGTCTGCTGAAAGTTACATGAACCATGCAAACCATGAACAGTGGAAAAGTAACTACATCCCACTGTGTCTTTTGTGCAACTGCAACACTTCAGATAACGTCAGAAGTCTCTGTCTAGAGAAGACAGGGAATGAATATAAACCAAAGTAAAATCCAGCTTTGGCTAAAAACTAGAGATCTCTATTTAAACATTTTGATCTCTGCTACATCTATCTCTAAAGAGTGAAATCCAGTGTGTCTGTGTTAAAACCACCTTCTCTAACTTCCTTATTATTAATATTCATAGTTAGTAGTGCCTGGTTATTACCTTGCAAAAAATAAAATAAAATAAAATAAAATAAAATAAAATAAAATAAAATAAAATAAAATAAAATAAAATAAAATAAAATAAAATAAAATAAAATAAAATAAAATAAAAAAATAAAAATACTGAATTATCACATGGTATCTATTGCTGGATTACTTGTTAAACTATTGATAAAGGTATTAACTGTATTTGTGTTTGTTAAATGTGTATGAAAGATTATATATAATTTAAGGATGCATGACTTATAAAAAACAGTTGTGTTTAATCAAGGGGTTTTATATATTCATTTTCCTAAAACCTTGATGACAAATCTAATATTGTTTATTCACTTGTTCATTTTTGTTGAGTGCATATATTGCTTTTAATATGATTTCAAGGCTTGTGTTATTTCAATGTATTCATATTAATTTCAAATAATTATAGTGTCCTTTAATGTCATTTAGTTATGGATATTTAAGTAAATTTCAGACAGTAACAAAAATAACATTCAATACTGAATTTGGGTTGATTTAATAAAACTATGTCTTTCAGCCTACTTTACTGAATTTTGGTTGGAGAAATGCGTTTAAAGACCTGTCTTCTTCTGTGGCTCACTGTATAACAATAGCAATTGAGGATTTTTCAACTAAAATTCTTCAACATGAGCAGAAAGAACAGTCTTCAGCTGCAGGCTATGCAATGAGTGTTGTAAACAACCAGCAAATGAGGGAGTCCTGCAGAGCAGTCCAACCGGAGGAGCAACCAAAACGAATTGCTAAGGCAGGTATCAAAAGATCTGAAGTTTGAGGAGACACAGAATGCCAAAGCTGTTTGCCATCTACACTTTGAAGTACTTACAGTACCATTAATATTCTATATCTTATATAAATGGAATTAAGAAGAAAGTGAGAAGCATTACAACATGAGGCTGAGCAGAGCTTTATACAATAGCCCGTAGTCTATACTTGAAAGAATTAACTTTTAAACTTTGCTGGCATTATTGTTTTCATCCAAAAAGTTCTAAAACATTCTGATTAGTGTCTGCTCTGTTACCAAGTTGTTCGATGGGAAAATGCTGAAAGCTTTGAAGCATAACTATGAAGGGATTTCCTGTATTTAAATCCTTAGACATGCCATTTAACTAATCAGCATAACCATAATGTGGCCACATAAGGGTTCTTTGAATTGACATAAAGGTCATTTATGACAATTAATTAAATAGTTTGTCTAAGGGAATATTTGCTTACAAGTTTTTGAATTTAGTGAGATTTGCAAATGTTCTAGAAAATTTGGAATGCTGTTACTATTTGCTTAAAGTAACACAAACTTTGGGGAAATATTTTTAGGGAGCTCAGTATGTGAACTTACTAACAGATATCAAGTTTTCCTTCAAATTCAGTATTCAGAAATGTATATTTTTCAAAATAAATTAGTTTAGAAAATTACCTTATTTAACAAGGAATTAACCTTATGCCTTGAATCCGCATCTAATGAAGTCATAAACAAAATGAAGGCATGAGTAACATAATATGGTTTTAATTTTTTAATTTTCTCAATATAAAGCAAGAAGGAATGAAGTAATAATTCATTTACTGTAGATAAATGTTACTCCCCTGTACAACAGAATGAAATGTTTGTAAAGCTTATTCAATATATTTGTTTTGTGCCAATTTCATTATTCAAGAATCTGACCCTAGAGTGTATAAATTAAACAATGCTGTCAGAATACAAATAACTTGATGCCACATTTATTTCTCCCAGTTTTGTTCTGACATCATGGAAGAACTTGACACATTGCTTCCATTGGCTCTGGCATGCAGAGATGATTCTCTTCAGGAAATTAGAGCAAACTTTGTAGAGGCCTGCAGCAAAGTAGCAACAGCTGTCCTGGCAAGACTAGAGGAGAAAAGCAAAGACGTTCCCTCCAAGGCTCCTCTGCAAAACTTGTATGCTGCTCTTTCCACAGCGATCTACGTCTTTCAGCATTTTACGATGTATAGCAATTTAATGAGAGAAAACAGCAAAAAGTGAGTCCCTTTTACATGTAATAATTTAATTCAAATGCAAGTATGCAAGTAATATAGGACTTCACTCCATTTTAGTGACGCAGTATGACGATAGTTTTCCAAATCGCATTGCATTTTTTAGCACAAGCACTACATGGACTATTTATGGAAAGACCTGACTCAAAGCTCTCAAAGCTGTTGATAATCTGAAACAGCCATTACAAAACAAATTATTTATGTGTAAGATTTGCATTTGATTTGCAGATCAAGTTTTTTTTTTTTTTTTTTTTTTTTTTTTTTTTTTTTATGAAGCTTGAATAACTGGCATTTTCTAGAGAGCTGAAAGTACTTTGCTATCATATCAACAGAAGGCTACAGCCTTAATTTTCTTTTCTGGCCTTTGCAATAGCTGAATTTACTTACAATCAAATTTGGCACATAGCAGTCCAAGAGAACTTTATTAACAAACACTCCTGCAGTTTTTCCTTATATCATCTTTGTTCAGAAATGTGAACAATCTACATTTAGAATTTATTTTTCATTCTTGTATCTTGTTTCAATTTTTATTCAAAATTAGGAAAATTCAGAACAGTAAAATCTAAGACATTCTTTGACCTGGAAGGTAATATAATTACATTAGCTGTGCTTTTAGGATTTTTTATTTATTTATTTATTTATTTATTTATTTATTTATTTATTATTATTATTTGGCTTAGGATACTAGGAATATCTTTATGGGTCCATGTGTTTTGGCCATATGTGATTTAAAATTGGAAACTAGGCCTTTTGAGGGAAGCACCTGAACTACAACAATTATGATTCCTAAAGAGTTATATACACTGTATAGCTACTTTCCCTCTGATGATTTTAACCCTCTGCTGCTTCATGAAGTGTGCCTTTATGAAGGGGAAGCCTGAGTTGAAATCTGGCTCAATCACTCTACATACATGCATTCTGAAATGTTTCCCCAGAATATCTACCTACTAGAAACAGACTGTTTGTTTTCTTTATCACATTTAATGTTGGTGTATTTGTGTGTCAACACAGAGTCTCCCAGTAACTGAATGACAAATGCACTCTTACCTCAGAAAATAGGTTAAAGTAATGTATTTCCAAGTGACTTGGTTAAATGAGAATTTATACAGGAGTGATATACTTAAAGAACTTGAGAAACAAAGACCAGATTTTTTCAAAAGTGAATGTTGGGTTCAGACTCCAGGAATGAAAGGAAATGAATGATTGATTCCTAATAATCAAAAGCATTTGCAGTACTGGGGATTGTTACCTCCTACTGCATGGCCTTTCAATCTTTGCTTCTTTGATCATTCTCTCTGAACAGACCCCTGTTCCTAGTGCCTGTCCAACAATATCAGGAATTCATCAACGTTCTCCAGTTTCAAGTTACGAACTACTGCGTCAGAGTTTGTGCTACAAGCATTTTGCAGGATGCTGAGAGCCACCATTGGGAAGACTACAAAGCTTTTTATGAGGTGTGAAGTTAAGTTTACTATTCCTACTTCTTACAAAATGTGTTTTACTGGTTGCCAGCTCTCTAACTAATTAGAAACATAAGATCAGCCTAATGTTACATAAAGATTGTTGAAATTAATTGTTTTGAAATATCTGGTTTTGCAGATATAGTGGAAATGGTATAAGAAAAAATAGTAATTTATAGGTGATATAAGTAATTAGGATAGAGATTTTATGTTGTTTGCTTAATAAAATACTGTGTGGCAGGTTCAGGATGCCTTATGGAACTCAGTAAAAAGGTCACTGTCATTTTAACTCTTCTTCTTGCAGAAAGTGTGACATATAAAATTGCAAGACAGACTTTTTTTTTTTCCTGGAAATTTTTAATCTGATTAAATACTCTTTAATGCTTATTTTCAATTATTTTTTTTTTCCTTTTTTTGACCTTTTGTGAGTGAGGTATGTAACAAGGAAAGATGGTCAATATAGTTATCTTCAGCATTCAGCTATATATTTCTGAAATAACTGGTGGAATTTCACCTGCATTTTGCAGTTGTGGGTGTGCTCCTAAACTACAGTCCTAATGATTCTAAGAAAAAAACACTAAGGTCAAGTGAATATATTATTATAATTTACTGATTGATTTTCCTCTTACAAGCAGAAGATATTATTGATGTATACTACTTGAAATTTTTTCACATAATTTAAGGATGAAGTGGAAGTATAATAGCCGTGATCTCCTGAAGACAAAGTCCTGCCCTGCCTTATTTGATTTACTATATGAGAGAACTGGGAGAGTTTTGTTAAATGTTTTCTGTAGTTCTTACATGAGATAATGCGATATATGTATTTTACAGATATAACATGTAAAGCTGCTGAGTCAATGACAAAAGTCTGTAGTAGTGATTAAACAGGCCTTAATATAAGTAATGGCATCAAAATGACATTCCTTATAGATAAGGAAATAAACACTTCTGTTTGAATGTGAGCCTACGTATACTGGTTTGATAAGAAAGTAATATATTGAGTGACTTTTGGCAACTGATGTAGATCTGGTTTTAATTGGTTGTAGTTCCTATGGTGCCGTGTCTGTTTATTGCTGACCCAATAAACCCCACAGGACAGTTATTAACAATGGAGGAAACCTAATCATCACAAATAGCCATCTCAACAAAGAAAAGAGTATTAATTAGCTAAATTATTTTATCATTACTGATCAGAACTGACGTGTAGGAAGGGAGGAAGAAAGCTGGTGTTTTGGCTCTGTGTACTTGCAGGGCTTGAGGTCAGAAACATGCAACTTTATATCATTGCCCAGCTCTTTTTACTGAAAGATCTCCTAAGAATGCCACCAGGAAGAATGATGCTGAGCAACTGTTGACTTCTGTGTTGGTCTTGTAGGCATTCTGAGCAGAACAGGATAGCTTAAGACCTATTGTTTGTCACAGAAGCTTCTAGCTGTGAAAGATGCTCCTTCCAACATATAAACTCAGCAGAAAGCGTGAGGTTCTTCCTCTTAAGTCAGACTGGAGACACACTCATGCCCTTGTCCAAGGCAGTGGCTCATGGGCCTTGTTGCCTTCTCAGTGTATCCTTTGCTGTAAACAGCATCATGATCTTGTTACTTTAAGGGGGAGCTGCTCTTGGCTCTGTACTTCTGCTTTTCTCATGAGTAGTCTAGCTCTTGAATGCAGTTTAGCTCAGGACCCTTGTTACCTTTTCTTTTCTGTCCCCCAGTTTTGAATATTACATTGGGACTATAAAAAAATCAGTCATCATTTGTAAATCCTGAATGCAATTTCATAAAGGAAAAACAAACGAACAAACAAACATTTCTGAGTTCTCCACTAACACTTTTCCTTCTCACTGCATAAGTAGGGGAGAGGAAAGAGGAAGAAACCATTCTTCCCTCAGTCTTGTATAGCATGCTTATATACAAACTAAATGGCTATCCTACATTTCAGCAACCACATGGGCTTGTTCCTTATTCTTCCTTTTCCCTGATAATATAGGGCATTCAAATGGTATTAAAGAATGTGATGGTCTTCCCTCCCATTCCCAACAAGTCATTAATGCTACAATGGCTAAAAAAACTGCTTGGTTTACCTGATTTGTAAATCATCCTGAAAGAAGAGAAAACCACTGAGAGAAAGACAAAGGGAAAGGAGGAAGGGGAGGCAGTGTCTGTGTTTGATTATAAAGAGCTGCAGTTTCCATATCCAATTCTGTATTTATTTGTACAACAGTAACATCTGAGGAGAAGAACATTGGTAGCAAATGGTTATTACAATCTATAAAACAAAGCATTATTTCTTTTCTACATTGTTAAAATAAGAATGCTTTTTTAAATAGATTTGCACTTTTATAACCACTTCAGTACCAGACCATTTGTCCTCATTCTGACATGCACCTAGTCCATTAAGCAGTAACTGGAATTAAAAGCAAAGCCAAAAGAACTGTTATAATTAGAGACTAAACATGCAGATTCTAACCACTGTGAGGTGACAGTGATTTTATCATATATTTTTTAAAAAGTTAAGAAGTGATTTTTAAAGATATATATAGTGATTTTTTGGTAATGTGAGATCTGAACTAAGCATACAGCACTTAGTCTAAGCTGCCAGGGAATGAAACTCTCAGGGTTCAGTATCTCTTTGATGGAGTGCACTGAACACCCACTGTGCCACTGGGCCAGCTCTCCAGATTATATTTTGGAACGAAGCTTTTAGTGTAATAGACATCTGCTGTAGCTTTAGGAACTTATGTTTTCTAATAGACAAAGAATAAAGAATTGTCTGTTCAAAGATAATATTTGAACATGGTTTATGTAATAAAGCACAGCTGCTTGTTTCCTGATATATAAGCTAAATAAAAGCTCACATCTGTGAGCTTTATATGAAGTCTGCAAAAATAGCAGATGCTTACCAGTGGAATTGTCTAGAAATGACAGCAAACAGGTCAGAAAAGGGGAATGAAGCCCATTTAAATCTTCAGTGAAACTCTGTTGCTTCTGCAGTGGTGGTACAAAGTTATAAAAAAGTATTATTCAATTTACCACCTTCAATTAAATAAAGCAAAGAAAATTAAGTAATTCATGTTTATAGTTATAAAATAAAACTAGCTGACATTCAATTACTTATTAAAAATAAATACCCTACATCACTAAGTTCAGTTAGAATTATAAATCATAAATCTGGTTGTTAGGTGTTCATGTTTTTTTGTAATTTTTTAGATTTAGTTTTATATGTCAAAGGTATGATGAAAATGAATTAGTTTCCATTAGGGATTCAGATTAATTATTTTGTTGCTGCTATGTTTGTTCTATACAAGTAGAAAAGTTTTTGCAATGTATGGGAAGTGTTAGTGTCTGTAAGATGAGGTTAGGGCTATTTTTTTTTTATTTTTTTTTTCTGGATAAATTCTGCCAGAATATATCTCAAAAGTAGTCTCGATATTATATCTAAGAAATCCACACTTACGTAAATATTAAGTTCTAAGTTATGCAAACTTATGAAGTTATGAGTAGAGTTATGAATTAAACTAGTACTTTCTTATAATGATGTTTTTAAAGATTGTTTCACATAAGAAAAATGAGAAGTTATTTTAATCTGACTTCTGTATGTTCTGATCCTTTTTTTGATCTATATTGATCCTATTTTACCTGTGTGCAAACACATGTCTAGTGCTTAACTGTATGAAGTATCAGAAAGACTGGTTTTGTTGGATCATGCTTGAACCTGTTCTAAAACTTCACTGGCTCTGCATGTGAAGAAAACTAGGCATATAATTTATCTTTGAAACTTGCCTGTATTACATTTTTCTTTTCTGTATTAATGAAAATGGCAAAATTGGTAGTTTTGATGATTTTTCTTTCTTTTTATTTTTCTTCTTCTTTTTCCTCCCCTTTAATGAGATGTTAGAGATGTCAGTCAGAAATGTAATGAGTAGGGCAATGGTCATAAGTTAGGTACTCCAGTACTTTGTCATAATTTTCTGCTTTTTAATATAAATTAAACTTCAAATATGATGGCAGAGAAACATGGAATAATAACAACTTCCAACAATCTGCTTACACGGTGTATTTAAAAAGAAGCTAGATTATTTTCTTTAGGGAAAAATGTCTATCAAACTCTTAGAGTGTTTTAAAAATCATGTTGTTTTTTTTTTTTTTTCTATATCTGATAATACAGAAATATTTTAAAAATCTTAAAATATTTCTCAGCTCCATTGGAATGTGGGAGGTGAAGGTTCAGGACTTTTTTGTTGTTGATTCAGCTTCATTCTAGTGCTATTTTCTGAATAGATCTTAGTTGAAATATTTGAATTTGAATTAAAATTTGTTCTTCATAAATATATTATGAATTGGCTACTATGATTTTGACTGTTTCATATTTTTCTCTGGTTTTGGAGTGGCTCTGCATAGATAATGAAATATTAATAGCAATTTTCCTTTCCAGAAAATATTTTGTTAAAATCAGTTGCCATTATCAGATGAAAATATATACATATACATTTTGTACCTCGTATTAATAATTTAATTGCTCATTTATTTTTGTTTGTTTGTTTTGTTTTGTTTTGTTTAAACCCTGTTCTTACTGTGCCCTCACTATGCATAACCAAAAAGTTTATCATCATGGTTATGTTATGTCATAATTATGAATGTGGGGAAATACACAAGCTTAAGTAATTTAAGTAACTATTTTCTGTTGAGGATAAAGAAACTCGTGTATATCAAATTCATACAACTATTCTAGTGCCTATAGAATATGTTTTTAAATTGGACTTACAACACTACAGCTTTTTGAGAGTAGGTTAGTTAAGGATATAGAAGGGCAAATGCACATGCTTTAGTTTGATGGCAGAATTCTAGTTTTGTAACTGAAATGGAGCAAGTGGTTTTTTGCTAATAAAGATATTTCAAATCTTGTCAAGGACCATTTTTTGATCATCATGTGCTTGAAATTCTTCAGTTATTTCCTTTCAGGTTGAATTAATTAGACTCACAGAAACTAAATTGACATTTTGGAAGGTGTTTTTCTATTATTTACTGTGTGGTGGTTTTGCTAGGGGGAAAGATGCTCGTTCTCTGTCCAGATGTGGCATTATTTCTGCTGTGCTCTTCATCATGACCTATGCACCATTCTACCTCCCAAGTTAGCCCAGGAGATTCTTATGGATGTGCTAGAGCAATCTTTGGCTGTGCTGTCCTCCAGATATATGCAGGCATGCCCCAGTTACAAGAGAACTCCACAAATCAGGTAACAGTTTTATATTTAACATACACTTTTTATGGGTAAAATACATGAATCTTTGTTTTCTGCTATACATTGCTTTAGTTCAAGTCAATTGTTAATATACATGAGGGGGTGGGAGGGAATATAAACACAACAAATATTTTCAGGGTCATTTTAATCCAATATATTTTGTATTGGTAGTTGTACTATATTATAATATTTGGTAGTTGTATACTGAAGAAGGCAGAATCAAAGAAATATTTATGAAATTGTGATATAAATTGCTTGACTTTTTGAAAGTTTCTTGATGAAGAGTGGATCGAGGAGTGGTGTTGCAACCAAAAAATGTGAAAAGAATTGGCATCCTAAGAAATCAAACCATTTATTCATGAAGAAAACTCCATGTGTTCTATTTTCTTCATACACCTTTTCAAGTGGAAGACCTACTGGGTCACATCAAAATATTTACCATTAAAGACAGCAGTACAGAAGGCTGTTCCTTCCCCTGTCATTTTAGGAAACAGGAAGTTGGAAGTTCTCCTTGTTGGGATTCTTTTTCCCAGAGGCTCTTTTTAATAAATATTAAAACAGGTGTTTTGAGGTGGAAGTTCATCCTATCTCTGTCCTTTCACTTTTTTTTTGTTTGATTGAATAAATTGGTGTATTTGTCATCCTGCTCTTTGCTACTCTTTACTACATGAATATATGTTTCCATGTTAAAATGTTGAAAGTGATATACTCTATGGTAGCTTTGTAAGTGGAAAACTAAAGAGGTTGTCATTTGTAGGAGATGGAAAACATTCAGCAGAGATGTTCTATGTGATTAGTGAGCTAAGCATTATGTGCTGCCTTCATAAGTTTTACTGTGTAGAGGAAAACAGTGTCATGGAAAGTTTAAGTAATTTGTACAAGCACATGTTCTTGATATAGCTGGGAAAAAAACAAAACAAAACAAAACAAAACAAAACCTGTTATTCAGGGTATTCCAATGTTTACATGCTTTATTTCTGCCTTAATTCCAGTTCTAGGTCTTTCTTTATTTTCAGGTATAGAGAAAATAATTTCATGCAAATTTTGGGGGAAAATTTGTTGGAAAAAAATATCTCAGACATATAAGAATGTGTATTAACACAGTATTCTTTAAACGTAGAAATAATCATTTGCTTCAAAATAATGAACAAAACTGTACTTTTTGCATTGTCTTTTTTGAAGATAAGTTGTTTTGCATAAGGTAATTCATGATTTTTTCACTAAATGAATTGAGTTATCCGGTTGTATGCAAATGAAAAAGCAATTTATAATGAATATTATTTAATACATTTTATCACTGGTTTTCTAATTATCTATATATATGTATATACACACACATATACACATATACTGTGCTTTGGGGGCTTATTTTCTCTCAATGGTTCTTGAGATGTTAGAAATCTATAATATTGCCAAATGCCACTTCACATCTGGTTTCATAGGTTTTTGAAAAATAAGAGGAATCTTTAAAATGTAGATGATCATATACATACCCATCGGCTTTTAGGCACTTAGGTGTTTCTTGAAGTTCTACTTCACGCCAGCCATATATTTTGTGTTATCCATCTATCTCTTACTATCTCTTGTATGTCAGCATCCTCTTGTGAAATTTTGTTGTTGCAGTTTGGGCTTTTGCTATTATTTAGGCCAATTACCCATGATACTCTGCTATTCAATATCAAAGTAACTGATTACTGACTCAGAAATATTCCACATCATAATGTGTTGCCTGGCAGTTGAAGTTCTGCAAACTGAAGATTTAGTTCACTTATTATTTTTTAACTCTAGTAGAATTTGAAAATAGTATATACAATCTAATGTTATCATAAGGAAAACTAAATTAAGTTTATTTGAATGTAGTGTAGAAGTTAAGTTGTTCCCATCTAGTGGCGTTGTCCTTTTAAAGAGGACATTTTGGTATTTTGCTATTCTTCTGTTGACTAGTGTCAGTAATGGCTTTTCTGTGACAGAGCTGCATATTTGCACCATAATATCTTCAGAATTTCCACAGTAGGGACTGATGAAAGATGAAATTTCAAGCCAATGCTATAATTTAGGTATTTTTTGTTGTTAGAGGAGAAGTCTTTAATTGAAATTTACCACTATCCTAATGTTCTATGTAATAATATTTTCCCTTTTTCTTTCCTACAGAACAGATATTGCAGCACTTCTGATATCCACTGAGAACATGCTGTGGTCAGTTTGCAGTTCAGTACAGGAATTTCTGAATCCACGTGAAGATAGAGATCTCAAGATCTATAAAATACATACCCACTGCAATAATCTGCTTTCTGTGCTAGCGATTTTAACTTCACCACTGAAGAATTTGTATGAGTGAGTATGAAATAAACATTCAACATGAGATAAGATAGGTTACTGAACTTACATTGATGTATTCTCAAGATAAACAGTTGTGCTAAAATACAAATGCAATGCATGTTGTTGAAACAATTTGATAACCTTTGAATGTTTCTTGATTTGGTCTTTAACTCATCTTTATGATCTTGCTTAAAGATCAATCTACAGGGATTTTATTAGCTTTGGATTAACCTCTTCAAGGTAAACTAGAATGTTATTAGGAATGTTATTAGGATATTGGGAAGAACTTCTTTACTGAGAGAGTTGTTAGGCATTGGAATGGGCTGCCCAGGGAAGTGGTGGAGTCACCATCCTTGGAGGTCTTTAAAAGACATTTAGATGTTGAACTTAGTGATATGGTTTAGTGGAGGACTTGTTAGTGTTAGAGGTTGGACTCGATGACCTTGAGGTCTCTTCCAACCTAGACAATTCTGTGATTCTGTGATTCATACTTACGCATCTAAGTTTCAGGATACTAATTTGGTTTTCTAAATATCAAAAACTTGACATGTACAGGATGTAGCATTTTTACAAAGTCCTCTGCAAATTGCAAGCAAAGCTGACAAATTTTGCTTAAGAAGAATATAAAAAATGTCATATTTTGTTCTATGTTAATAAAAATAACATTAAAACTGAAAAGCATTGTTAGAGAGATGATGCATGGTTTTTCTCTGAGTTAAAAGGAATACATTTTATGAACTGTGTATTCAGCACTTTTGTTTTCAAAAGCCTATGAGACTATATCAAAACAGTTCTTTTATACCGCATGTTTCATTAGAACCAATATTTGTCAGGTAACCTAACCCACTAATTATATTTCAGATTACAAAGAAAAGACAGGTTTACCAGATTAGTTTCTCAAATAACTATATCCAACTGCTTTCATATACCAAATTTTATGATGAATTTCTAGGTTCGTTAGTAACTATGTAGCTATACGTAGTTCATCACATTAAGAATCTATCAATAACAAATTTAGAGGTTATGTGTGATTTTAAGGGAATATTAATCCTTCATCAGTTGTCTTTAGAATTACAGCTGTATTATCAAAATTTCCATCTGTTATGTTCATTCTATACCTTGGAAAACTTAAGTAAAATTAACTGAAAGTGAAGTAAAGATTTTGCTATTAAATCTATCATGCTCTCTATTTGTACCACAAGATTTCCCTGCTGGGGTTAGTTTTAAATTAAACTTTAGACTGCTTAAGAAAGTTCTGTGTAATCATAAAAGTGCTGATGAGAGACCGTTGTGTTTCAGTAGTTTACTAATAATAGGACTGGCTAATTTCCAACTTACTAGAGATGTGGCATTGGCTGTTACTTCCAGGGAATTAGAATTACTCAAATATCTTTATTATGCAGTTCAAATGCAGCCAAAATAGTGGGGGTGCTGAAAAATTAATAATATACTTAATTTAAATGAACTCATTCTGGCAGATGGTTTCTCTTTCCTAATTCTCAGAACAGACCTTGTGCTTCCTGCTGTCACTTAGTGTATTTTCTGTATGAATAGTGTGCAAGATTCACCTGTGAATCTTGGGCCATCATCAGTTTTTAGCCCTCACTCTTTTTTGTTTTGTTTTTCTCCACCCTTGTCTGGCTTTTCTGAAGAGACTTCAGTATAGTCACAGAATGCTTGGGATGGAAGGGGCCTACTATGCTACGGAGTGGGATGCCTTAAGTTAAGTCATGTTAGTCAAAGCTCCATCCATCCTGGCCTTGAGCACTTCTAGTGAGACATAAAGATCAGGATCTAAACTGGGAGGACCCATTGACTCCCTTGGGAGTAGAGATGCCTTGCAAAGAGATCTTGACAAATTAGAGGTCTGGGCAACCACATAAAATTTAATAAGAACAAGGGGAGGATTCTGTACCTGGGATGGGGACAACCCTGGTTGTACATACAGACTAGGGATGAGAGGCTTTAGAGCAGCCCCACAGAACTGATCTAGGGGTTATGGTCAAAGGCAAGTTGAACATGAGTCAACCATGTGTCGTAGCAGCCAAAAGGGCCAATCAAATCCTGGTGTGTATCGGACACAGCATGGCTGAGTGAAGTGATTGTCCTGCTCTTCTCTGCACTGGTGTGGCCTCACCTCAAGTACTGTGTGCAGTTTTGGGTACTACAGTATATGGACATAAAACTATTAGAGATTGTCCAAAGGAGGGCTACAAAGATGGTGAAAGGTCTAGAAGGCAAGATGTATGAGTAGTGTCTGAAGTCACTTGCTTTTTTCAGCCTAGAGGAGCCTGAGGGGCTGCTTCATGTTGGACCACAGCTTCCTCACAAGGGAGAGTGGAGGGGTAAGCACCAATCTCTTCTCTCAGTGGTCATGATGCCAAGCCTGTCAGAGTCCAAGAAGAATTTGGAGAATGCTCTCAGAAATATGGTTTGATTTTGGGTTGTCTGGTGTAGAGCCAGTAGTTGGACTTGATGATTCTTGTGGGTCCCTTCACACGCAGGATATTCTATGATTCTGTGATCTCAGTGCAAGGCCTTTACACCCTCAAGTGAGTTAACAGCTCCTCCTAATTTAGTGTCATCTGTAAACTTAGTTTGCCTATGAGTCTTGCATCCAGATCATTTATAAAAACATTGAACATTGAAGAGAACTGGCACCAAAACGGATCCCTGGGGAGCCCTACCAGTGACCAGCTGCCAGGCTGCTGTAACCCCATTGCTCTTTGAGCCCAACCTGTCAGCCAATTCTTCAATTATGTATTTGTCTAATTGTGCTGAACATTTTTGCAGAAGAATATGTGCGAGAGATGGTATTGAAAGCTTTGCTGAAATCCAAAAGATCACATCTATTCCCTTGGTCAACTAGCTGGGTAACTTTGTCGTTAAAGGAAATTAAGTTAGTTAAGCTCAATGGCACCTCTTGTGAACTGGTGTTGGCTATCACCAATGTTTATTGTCTTTCAAGTGTTTCTTTCAGTAACTCCCAGAATGATCTTTAATTTTACTATGCATTGAAGTGAGACTGACAGGCCTGTAATTTCCAGGGTCTTCTTTCTTGCCTTTCTTGAAAACTGGGACAATATTTGCCATCTTCTAGTCAAGTGGGACCTCTCCATATTCCCAAGATCCTTAAAAAATAATTGAGAGAGGTCTCACAATGACATCATCTACCTCTTTCATCTGGCTTAACTGGTGTCAAGTAGATGAAGAGAGTTACGGTTTTTAGGTTGCTTGCCATACTCCTCCTAATGCAGCCCAGTGTATGGCTTGTGCTATTTTTAATGAGACCACTTTGTAGCCTCATATTCAACACCACACAGGCCATAAAACCCAGGTTCTTCTGTAAGGTTGGTAATCAGTTCCCAGACTATTATTGTTCTGTCGCTGGAGCACTTTACCTCTTCATTACATTAGTAAAGATGCACTTTACCTCAGTGAACTCCATGAGTTTTCTGCTGGTCCTCTCATCTTTGATTCATGACTTTGCTGTTTGTTAACTCACATACCTACTCCATCCAGTTTTGTGTTATCCACAAAGATGCATTTTGACTGTTCAGTTCTGTGCAAGTTTCGAGGAAGCAGTTTAACAAATGTCCTCCTGAATGTGCCCTCAAAACCTAGGTGTTACTGCTTTCTTGCTGATGACCCGAATCTCTGAAAAAAAGAGGACTTTTGTCCTCTTCCGTGTTTTTATTTTGTTTTGTTTTATTTTGTTTTATTATTTTAATTTAATTTAATTTAATTTAATTTAATTTAATTTAATTTAATTTAAATTTATTTATTTATTTATTGCCCTTTTTGATGTAGACTACATCACCAGCCTTTCCCTCATCCACCAGGCAGGTCACCTGGTCATAGAAGGAGATGAGGTTGGTCAGGTAGAACTAGCCTTTTGTGAATCCATGCTGGCTGGGCCTGATCCCCTTGTTGTCCCACATATGCTGTGTGATTGCATTCAAGATGACCTGTTCCATCACCTTTCCTGGCACCGAGGTCAGGTTGACACGTCTGTAGGTCTCCAGGTCCTCCTTGTAGCCCTTCTTATATATGGGAGTCACATTGGCAAGTCTCCAGTCATCTGGGACCTCCCTGGATGACCATGACTGCATGATAGATGATGGAAAGCGGCCCAGTAATCACATCCACCACCTCCCTCAGCACTCTCAGGTGGATCCCATCTGTCCCCATGGATGTGTGACAGTCCAAGTGGAGCAGCAGGTCTCTGTTTACACCTGAAGCGTGGGTTTTTTTTCTGTTCCTCATCCCAGACTTCCAGGTCAGGAGGCTGAGTACCCCAAGGATAATTGGCCTGACTAGTAAAGACAGATGCAAAGAAGGCATTAAGAACCTCTGCCTTTTCCTTATCGTCAGTAGTCACATTCCCCCCCACGTCCAGTAAAGGATGGAGATTCTCCTTGGCCTTCCTCTTACTGTCAATATATTTGTAAAAACATTTCTTGTTATCCTAAGCCAGAGTGGTCAGGTTCAGCTCATGTTGGGCTTTAGCCTTCCTGATTTTTTACCTCTGCATATGCTGGGAACCTCCTTCTACTCTCCCCGAGTTTCTGCCCCTTCTTCCACCAGACATAAACTTTCTTTTTCTCCTGAACACTCAGAAAATGTTCCCTGTTCAGCCACACCCATTTTCTTCCCTGATGGCTCATCTTACAGCACACAGGGACAGCCTGCTCCCGTGCCTTGAAGGAGCGCCGTGAAGGAGCCCCTCCTTCTTGAGGAATATGTAGCTTTCCTGGACCCTTCTGCCCTGGAGGACTGACTCCCAAGGGACCTGAACAATTCAACAACCTGTGTCCTGAACAATTCAAAATCTGCCCTCTGAAAGTCCAAGGTAGCAGTGTTAGTGCCCCTCCTCCTGACTTCACCAAGAGTAGAGAACTCCACCATGTCATGGTCACCCATGACAGCTCCCTACCAGTCCTTCTCTGCTCATGAACAACAGGTCTAGAGGGGCACCTCCTCTGGTAGGCTCATTAACAGATGAGTTAGGAAGATGTCTTCCATGAACCTCCTGGACTGCTTCCTCGGGGCTGTGTTGTATTTCCAGCATATGTCTGGGAAGTTAAAGTCCCCCATGAGAACAAGTGCTGGTGATTGTGCAACTTCTGCCAGCTGTTTGTAGAATGTGTTATATATTATTACATATATTATAGCTGTTAGTCTTTTGTACTGAGTAGGATATCATAATCTTTCTTTTAGTGGAGATCATAAAGAGTAAGGTGGATGCAGCTTTTCATGATTTTGTAATACAAATTATTATGTCTTGTTTTCTCAACAAGAAATGAGGCCAATAACTTGAATTCCGAGAGAAGAATTTAGGAATATAGAATAAATAGAATTTAAATAAATAAATAGAATTTTTATTGGTAAAATTGCCATCTATTGGGTAAAACCTAAAAAAAAAAAAAGATATTTCTCTTAACCCTAATTTATGACTCACTTGTTTGTCCTGTTTCTTCCGTATAAAGAGCTAAATTCTTCAAAGTCTGCAAGGAAATACCATTAGGATACATCTTGTTGGCATTTCATTATTTCACACCTGCACTGATGTTTACCAGATCAATTCTCACCTTGTCATACTCTACAGAAGAATAAAACTCCTGTAACTTGGAATCTTGCTGTGGTATTAAATACTTTCACAGATGCTATCCACTGCTTTGAGACTATAAGCAGCTGCTTTAACATATCTTGTAGTCAAAACAAATTTCCTACTACCTATTATTATACTTCTGTCAGAAGAGTAGTTGAATTAAACTGTCTGGCAGAGGGCTGGTTTTGCCTTATGTTCTGGTAAAAAATTACATAACGAGCAATGGACACTGAGGACTGCTGTCACCATTTTATTATCATTAGACACTTCACTTTTTCTAGTATTTGAAGGCAGTAAAATTTAAATAATTTTTAAAACCATCACATTTTCTCCATGTCAGTTTCAAAATTTGCAAGGAGGTTTTGCTGTAAGTCTTAGAGGCCAAATGTATGCCCTGTGCTTGTCATCAGGAGACAGCTAAGACACCATATTTAACAACCTGCATTAGCCAGAAATCTCTAAAACATTTTTATTTATTTATTTTTCTTTCATAGCCACCCAATCTGTACCTATCTTCTTTCTTGTAGGAAGTTGGCTCTGTCCTTTGCTATATTAAGAGAAACATTTCAGGGGATGAGAGACAATACGTTTTTTTTGTTTTTTTTGTTTTTTTTTTTCCCTTGAATTTTCTCAGACTGTTGAAGTTACTGTTTTTAAAATAACTATTTTTCTGTTTAAGTACTCCTTTTATCTACATTATGATCTCAGCTTTAATTTTTCATGAATTCACATAGAGTATAAATTTACAATATGCTTACCATTCTGGTCAGATATTGCTTACTTAAGATCATTCTAAAAGCCTGTAATACATTGTTTCTACTAGCTTTGTTTGATCAGTAAAGTAATTTCCAAATAAATTACCCTTTCTTTTGGAGGAGTTCAGAAGCTCTACACCTGTCTTCCTTAAGCACAGTGTAATTTTCTTTCATCTGTAGTCATATAAGCGAACAGTGACCTTATAGACATTGTAGCTGTACTTCTAAATTACCGATATACAACTGTGAAAATAAAAAAGAAAAAAAGTTTTAAAGTAATTTGAAATAATAAAATGACAAAACACAAATACTGCCAATGCTACCATGATATAGCACCCTATGAGAAAAAGGATATTTTACATTTTAGGTAAAGAAATCGTTGAGACTGTATTCCAATTGGATTCCAATTAGATTCCAATTCTATCTCCGGTTTTAAGTGTTTAAATCTACTCACACTGTTTCTATATTGTGACAGTGACTTTTTTATGCGATATAAAAAGATTCCCCTGTCCTGAGAAAAACCTCATCTTTCTTCCTTAGATATTTTAAGTGTCCTTCAACTCTTACTGCAACAGAAAGAATTCTTACTGAAAATCAGGAATAAAACTGAATCTCTCCAGAAAGTAAAGCAAATATACTAAAATGCCCATTCTAGAGTCCAGAACTGACATTTTTAAAGGTAGTTACTTTTCTTGCATATGCTGTGTTAAAGAATAAAGAAGTTTGGCAGGACTTAAACCCCCTTGCATCTCAACTTGTCCTCAGATATCAGAGTGGCTGGGGGTGGCTGGGCTTGAATTCTGAGTGATGCCCAATTCAGCACTAAAGTCCTATCGCATCCAATATATCAAATTACCACAATCACAAACACACATATAGCACAATACACCTTCAGTTTAGCAGATTAGCAACTGGTTTAATTTACTGAAGCTACAGGAGGACAGGTCTTTTGGATTGCTGATGATAAAGATGCTGTCTGCAAAGCACTTGCAAATACTAAGAATATGACTAACACAACCAGCTACATACAAGTTGGCTTACGAAACAACTCTATAAAGAATGTTAGGTTTCTTAGGGAAGCACTAGTTATAACCAAGGGTTCAAATCTGACCCAGTAGGCATCCCAGTGGAGGGGGGGGAAGAGAAGGACAGCCTGTCAGCTGACCCCAAAAATCAATGATGTCCTCCTGACTTGTCTGTGATGTTGTCTCTCAACATTAAACAACTTTAAAAACCATCTAACACTTTTCCTTTCTTGAGCCTTTTTTTCACCACATTCCTGCTTTTAGGTGGAGCTTGAATTGATCGTCATTATGATTGGTATAAAATTGTCTTGCCTTTGCTTTAAAGTTACAGGCTCAGAGAAATTCAGAGCACATGCTCAGTGAGGTGTGGTTACACCTTGGAGGCATGTAGCCTTTGGGATGGAGGTGTATTTTGTCATTGCAGTGAACTTATAATAAATAAAGTTAACCAGAGGACATGATTTTATGATCAGTTTGGCTCAGGGCTGGCTATGCAGTCTGTCAGTCCCATAGTACCATCAAGCTCCCCATCCCTGCAGTGAGAGCACAGAGTTTGGTTGCAGTGTCTTCACTCTGCTCCACCCTCCATACTATTTCTCTTAGACTCCACACACTAAGCCACCCTGGTGTTACCAATATTTAAGGCTGCAGGTTATGTTGCCAGGGGGAATATTGTGGAACAGACTCCTTGCGTATCTACCACTTCTCACTCTGAAAGTATCCTCAATGTTGAACCTTCTCTTAAGATGTGGACATATCTTTAGTTTCAATAAGTCACCTCCACCAATTGTTCCACAGCGTAACTTGGAAAATTCCAGCCATGATACATAAAGGAACAAACTTAGAGAAGGCAAGTTAGTAAAATGAAACATTCACAGCCAAGTAAGTAAAAAAGTGAGTTGCAAAAAGAGTGATAATTGGTAATGATTAATGGAGGGTGTATGTAAGGGATGACATCCCTTCTGCAGAAATACTCTGTACAAATACTAATACATTTGTTAATTTTTATTTTTGTATCTTATAATCTTAGATAATAATTTAAGTCAAGTATTAATTATATCATGTCTGTCCTTACGATAACATAGGTATTTTTATAGTCAAATGACATCAGTAACAAATAAGAATAGTTAATTTTTGTTATCAGTTCGCTGAGTGTGATTTTTGCCTCTCACAGCCTTTAGGTAAGAGAAATAATGGAGGAGGAGTGACATAAAACTAATTTATCTGATTCTTCAGCAGTCTTTATTTATTTTTTTTTTAAACAGCAGATATTTCCATCACTATTCTGTCTATATCTTACAAGCCAGTGAAGGAGATCTGAGGCTTCTGATTCATTTTTTTCCAGTTTCATCCAAAGTCTATATCTACTTGGGTGTTAATGCAAAAGATGACCACTAAAATTTCAAAAGATATTTTACTTATGTTTATGATACTGCTATATTCATAATATGATGCATGTATTGGGCAAAAACAAAAGATCAATAGAAATAAATGGCTAAAGAGCAATTTGCTTATTCAATGCATTTTAAAATATAGCTCAAAAATCTGCTATATGAGACTAAATATATGAAGACAATTGCTTTAACTCTACTGAAAGTGCTAGATGCTGAGCTACAAATAGTGAAAGCAGATAAAATGAGAATGACATTTGTAACATCAAATAAGATCAATAAATTTGCAGTTACATGTATGCACATATGTATGTAGTGCTAGTTATCATAATGGATTCTACATCTTCTATTGATATATATTTGTATTATTGATTCAAAAGGATTTTCAGTGTCCCATGTGTTTCAGACATGGTTTGTTTTTGTTTGTTTGTTTGTTTGTTGTTTTTCTTTTCAGGACATTTCAGAACAATTCTGGAGAACATCTTCCTCAAGTTATTTCCAAAGACTTTTATCACCCATTGCACTGGTTATTTTGCATACCATCATCCTTTCCTTCCTTAATGAAGTGAGTAACAAAAGTTGATTTTAATAAAACTACCAGATAGTCAACATTAATCAAATAGTTTGGAAAAGATTATATCTGGATACATGTTTAATTAATATTCTAATGAAACAATATAGAAGCATTTTTGGATGTTTGTTACAGATTCCCCTAGTCTTCAAAGTTAAGAATTTATAAGAAAGGTCACATTGAAAGCAGTGTACTGTGTAGTTTTTTGCACATGCATTCATTATGTTTGATATTTGAATTGTATTTAACGTTTTCTTGCTTTAATTAGAGTATATAGCTCTTGACAATAATGTAGTTCAGCACAGGTGCAGTTCTCAAAGACTTATAATTAAAGGGGAGATAAAGAATGTATGTCTTTCTGTTTCTGATTGCTGGTTAAAAAAGGGTCTGATATATAAATAACACATCAAATATATGCTGCTTGATCGTAGTTGATTTTTTGGGAGATTACTGCATGATTAGAGGCAAAAGCTTAATTTCTTTTTCTGTGTCACTGCATATAATGACAAGTTACATATGAGACATATGCTACCAGCTGTGCTGTCATTCCCTTTCTAATTTTGAACCTGAAGCACTCCCACACCAGTGTAGATTCTCTCCTAACCCCTTCACCTCCTCCACCTCTTCAAAAGTTATTTCCCAAGAGATTTTCATTTTCAATTTTTATGAAAAGCTGTGTTTCTGAGTTTTGTTTTGTTTTGGTTTTTTTTTTTTTTTTCTGATAAAGTATTTTTATTTTTTATAGAAGTATGTTAACACTTGAGAGATGACCTATTGAAGTCCAAAATGCTGTCAGTTTTTGACCTCCTACCTTGTATCTTCCTAATCACAATATCTTCCCTATGATTTTACCCCATACTGTGCAGAACGTTCTTTCCACCCCTCACCCTTAATTTCATGTCAGCAGTAGTTATGTCCTTTCCTGGTGTCTCTAATAACACAATAAATGCTGTGACTGAGTCAAAGTTGTGTGATTGGCCTACTGAAATGCCACAGAATGAATTAACTATTGAATTCAGATTTTGTGCTTTTCTCTGCTCAAAGTAGTCATTTAAGTTTTTCTAAAGCTTGAAAGATAATGTGTACGTGGGATCTCTACCTCTGAATCAAGTTTCAATGAAATTTTTCAATGGTTTTGTAAGTCGCACATGTATGGAGATACAGGAGACGAAAGGGAGGGCATAGGAGAGGGAATGACTACATGATCACTTAAAAAGGCATGCATTCTATATCTTAGAAAAAGTGTCCTTCATTAAGGACTCACAGTAGAAAAAAAGTCATTTTTCTGATCCCCTAGTCCAAGGCTACTATTCAGAATTTAAATTATGGTGTGAATTCTGAATTTAGGAAGAGGGCTTCATAAGTTAGTACACTTTGCAGCATAAAAGTATCTAAAGGAAATGTTGATACTATTTCAGTCTTAAAGAGTTCTGTTTTCTGAGGTGGAATTATGATTTTGTAGATGCTGTTTGGGGCATATTTATTTTGAATAAACAGTAAAAAACTTTTCCAGACCTATTTTCTCTGGATGAAAGGTGAGAAAGCATGCATCTCGCCAGCCAATGAAGTATCTTCTCTGTTGCTGTTTTCTTTTTTTTTTTTTTTTTAATATAGTTTTTGCTTGTTTGTTTATTTTTTTGTGGTGTTTGTTTATTTTTTATTTGTTTGTTTTTGTTTGTTTGTTTTCTGGGAAAATGAGAAGTCCAAAAGGAAGGACAACTCTGAAAACATGTCACACAGTGTGCCTGTGTGATAATAGTCTATGTATATGTACTGTCTTTGTGATAATGAGTGAACTATATTGGTAAAATACTTAATGTCTTCTTTTAACAGCACACCTTTCAGGTGATCAGAAAAAAAAAGGGGGGTGGGGGGAAAGAAAAAATATTATGTTAAGTACTTTTAACGAACATGTCCTAAGGTGTTATAAGTTTGTTATTGGTTTTACACCATATTTTTGGCATGGAAGTTTTTCTTTCTTGAAATACTGCATTTAGAATAATAACAAGACATATTATGTTTACATATTGCAGAAAACTATTAATTAGAGGATCCTACTTTTTCCTAGATTGTTTTATGCTTTTTCTTTCCGTAGCTAATAAATATATATATTAGTTTATATATTAGTTAGTTAGTTATATAGTTTATATATTAGTTACCAAAATTGAAAGCTGAGGCCATTGTACAGCTCCCAGCTGTGGGCACCTAATTTTTAAGTGGATTTTGAAGATTCTAGCCTGTCATAAATATAAATATTAAATAATTGCTCTTTCTAACCTTTCTAGGAGAAAGTTCTCCTAGAAATAATTTTGTTTACAATTGTTATTTTTTTAATTTTTTTTACAGATTCACTACTTAACCAGGTTTTCTACATTAGTTGTCATATATTTATATTGTTATAGTCTGTTTTATCTATCTAACTTCAACTTTCCTTATACAATGTTGAATTTATCATTTGAGGTTTTCTTTTTTTTTTCCCCCCATTTTGTATAGTTGATTATCAATATAAATAATCACTGATAATAATTTATTTGTATTACAGTTCCTATAGTGGTAACTGTGATTCATTCTTTGCTTCATTTGGGGTTCATAATCATAGCCTTTGCAAATGAGTTGTTTTTTTTTGTTGTTTTTTTTTTTTCTCCTACTGTACAAAACTGAACATTTATATGTGTGATATTTATATGTACTTCACCTTTTGTCACTTTTTATGAGGCTAGTCTTATTTTCACTAGTACTGAGCTACGAGGATGAGAGAACATATGCCTCTCCATATGCACGTTACAAAACTTCTCAGTGCATTTATTGGTGCTAGCTTCATGGCTGTAGGGAATGTCTGCTATATTTTATTTTTCCTCCAAGTGAGTCACACCATTGTACATTTCAATTTGCAAGAGGCTCGAGGAGCCAAGAACGGGTGTATATTACAACATGATAACTTCCCATCTGGTCAATGACAGACAAGTTTTATTTCAACTCAAATATTCTAAAAATGGCATTTATTTCTGAATTCATTTAAAATATTATCCTTCATTAATCTATTTGACCAAACTTGTCCCTTTCCTTGTATTTTGAAGGCAGTGACTGACCTTATTAGACTTCATAACATGTGGCATTCAAGGAAGAAGATAAATAAAGTGAAACTGGCCCATATAATTTAACTAAATTTGTGAAACATTGAGTTTAGTCATAGCCATAGTACCAAGTCTGGTGTGAATATAGTAATTGTTTGAATTTAAACATGTATTACAAACAACTAATTAGTTCTTAAAATGCATTGGAGTTCATGTACATATGAATACATACAAAGTGTAGACAGTAATACTGCTAAGAATGCAAACCCTAAAGTATGCTTATAATATGTGTTTAAATATGGAAAAGTTATTTTGGCTGCAAGTTCTATTGAGATTTAAATGCATATGTGTATATATTTCTGACAAATATTATTAGAATCCAATATGTACTTATGTGCAAAAACATCATTGTCGAGACAGTGCTACATTATCAAGGATTATATGATAAATGAGGTAAAAATCAAAAAAGATGTACATGAGTTTTCATGGCAAGTATGTTGCTTAGCTACTCAGAGGTATTGGCTTTACTGTTAAAATCCCAAAGGCTACAGTGTGTAAAATCCCTCTTTGCTGTTGGCTATTATAGCCCCTTTGGCTATTGCAATATTAACTGCAAAATTTTGGCATAATAGTGTGCTAGAAAGGTCCTTCAGGAAAGCAGTGTTGTGGAAGTTTGATATTCTTAGGCAACCTCAAGGTTGCCCTGCAAGATCTGTGGCATCCTGATAATTTCTGGTACTGGAAGCATACAGGTGGGAGACTAAACCAGAGAAGCATGTCAACCGGCATTTTCATTTCCAGGTTTTAGTTTTATATACTATCTATATAGTAACCTTGAATCAACAGTGAAGATTTTGTGCAGTCATCTATTTTCATGCATACATACAAGCTGAGTTGAGTGGTGGCACACTTGGACTGCTCAGATGGTCACAGAAATGTGCAACATAGAATTAAAACATTTTCGTTTTGTCCCAATAGCTGCACATAAATGGCACATAAAGTAAATGTGCAGGTGCCTAGTAATTCTTTTATAGTATGGCAGGAGAACATAGTTCCTGATGAAAAAGGCTTTAACTGATGCTGATAGTGTTTGTGTTCTAGCAGAAAATGTTTATGCTTGCATAGTTTATGCATCCAGGCATATGTAGTTTTTATAACTGGTAGGTGTAAAATTTATGTGCATAAGAGTTTGCATATGCAGTGCATAAACTTTCAAAGTTAGTAACCATTGTTGTATAAACTTGCAACCAAAATGAAGAAATAGAATAGCTAAACATGTCAGAATTTAATTTCAAAAACCCTCAAATCTTATCTAAATATAAAATTAATGTATATGCCAGTTAATAAGGGAAAATTAGGCTTTCAAGGAAAATTTTACTGACAAACCAATTTTGAAAACTTCATTTTTAAAATGTCTGAAATAAGAAATAATAGATTAAAAAAATCTGAGGAGCACAGGAGGTGAGTCTCCACTTTGCCACCAGCAACAGACTTAACCTGTGTAGTTACCCAGTAGTTCCTGCAGAACTTGCAGAACTGTGCATGCTTTCTGGTCCCAGGATTTGTGCAGGAAACAGCAAAAGGGTGTTTGAAAAGAAAAAGATGTTACGAGGGTGGCTGTGAAACATTCCAGACATGCTGCTCTCTCAGAGGCAGCAGACCAGCCAGGAGGGGAATTTCAGTCCCAAGGAGGCTGCTTGCTGAACTCAGAAAACATTTGGCGAAGGTGAAATAGAAGTCCACGATCATTTTAATTGCTCCAGTATGAGTCTAATGGTTGGTGTTAGAACATTGGCTGAGTTCAGAGGGAGCCCTAGAATATTTCTGTTTGGAAACCTAAACTTCTGGAGAGCATGGAACAGCAAACAGAAAAGTACAATCTCCTTGAAAGCTTTCTTACATCTCTGTGCTGGCAATACAGTCCAACTAGTCTAATACTTCAGGTGAATTTTTCATTATTTTCAAGAATTGGTCAGCCTAATGCAGGATCCTGCAGACCCTTTGAATATTCCCTCTTTTTTTTTTTTTTTTTTTTTTTTTTTTTTAATTAAGAGTTTCATATCCTTCATTTAGGACAGTTCAGAGCTCTTACTAAACAATTAACATGGTAAATTAAAGAATAATAGCCTGAAATTTATTCAAGCACAAAAATACTCCTTCTTGCCTGGTAGAACAAGGCTATACATAGTTCCATGAAAAAGATAAGTGAAGTTGCTTTGTATCAGTTATAACTTTGGCAGACTACCAAATGTTAATTTGCTTTTAGCTAGTTGAGATTAAATGTAATTCCTTCCCTGAGCTGCCTTAAAGTAAGCAAGCATGAAAGCATTTTCAGAGTAATCTGGGAGGAATTGACATTTAAGGGAGTTAGCATTACATCTGCACTTTAAGGATATTAATTTCGTAGATAAATTAACTGCATTATTCTGTCTTTATCTTGCATTTTGAAAGGAGTCCATCAGCCGGAGAAATGGCAGCCCAGGGTCAACTGAAACTGCTCTTATCCCAGCCACACTGTAATTTGCACTTGCTTTTGGAAACCTTGCTACATGATAATTGTCTCTTAGTGAGAATTTTACTGAGAAGTTCAAGTAAGTACTTACGCTGTTGATCCTTGCAAGAATATCAGTGAGAAACACAAATTCATTTTTAACTACTTAAATACTTTGGGATATCAGTTATCAGTAGGACAGTTCTTGAGTGGGTAAAGAAAAAGAAAGGTTCATTGTTTTTTTAATGATTTTTTTGTTTTGTTTTGGTTTGTTTGTTTTTTTGTTTGTTTGTTTGTTTTTTCAGTCAGTCTCAGTATTCATAGCTTCAAAGCAGGCTACAATTCGATAAAGTAGGCTGATATCTTAAATGCAAAGGAGTCTAAATGACTCTGAACTTAATAGTGCATTGATACCACAACTGGTTAACAAAGATTTTTAAAGGTGTGGATCTGAAAGATTACTTTCAAAATTATGTTTCTTCACTGAAAAACTTCTTAGAGGTTTTGTTTATGTTATTACATGTTTATCACTGTAGGCATTCCAGAAGTACGTCTATGTTCTCCCTCTTCTTAATACTATCATTAACGTCATATGAAAGTGGGGCAAATATAAGAATGGTTTTATGAGGTTTTCTTTTAATAAAATATAAAAATATATTTTAAATATAACATAATTATTTAGTTAATTCAGTTAATTTAATTTTGTAATTTTAAAGTTGTCTAACATTGGTCAGGGATACAGCATTGTTTCCACTTCTGTCATGCATCTTTTTGAGAACTGCACTGCATTCACTTACCTACTCAAATATGTGTCATCGTTTACAAGGACTGTCAAATACTTGATCAGGATCATATTCTTACTCTAGCACTACCCAGTACTGAATTTTAGTAGGTGTTTAAATTATCACAAGGATTAACTGACAGAATGTGTTTTCATCTATTGACTGACCAACCTCTCGAGCTTAAGGAAAATATATGCTACTATGAATTAGAAAATATGCTATTTACACAGAATCAATATTGCTATGAATAAACTTTCAGTTTAGATAAAGGTGAAAACCACAATGATGCATATCTTCTAAATTTCAATGAGGTTTAATTATATAATGGTAAAATTATTATAATCTTTATTCCTTCTCCTATACATATGCTTTACTGGTGCTAGATAAGCTAAAATTTTTGGAGTGTGACCTGTTATATGATAGTACAAGAAAGCCTGGACTAATAAGTTATACCTTAGTAATGACAGTTTAGTATGGTAAAAAACTTCCAGAATTATTTACTCATCAAGAGTAAACTTCAGCAATGTGCAATTTTATGCATAAAAAGAGATAAAAAGGTAATTATACAGTAGTTTTTGAGTGATTTGTCCTGCCAAAAAAAATAAAAATATATCAGTGACCTTTAACTAGATTATAAGAATTCTTTGAATACGAAGGGCTTTTTCACATTTTTCTTGATTTTACACACAGGGTTTCTTTCTCCTATAAACTGTACCAACATGATGATTTTTTTAATTTTTTTTTTTTGTACTATAGGTATACTTCAGGATACTTTTAGTAGGCATCATACGAACACATTTAGTTTTATTCCCATTGTTCTCATATAATTGTACCATAGTAAGGGGCAGAATTAAGAAATTTTCCTCATTATAGTAGGAAGTACTGTTGGGATTTACAGAGCTGTCTCAGAGTATTTTAGAGGATGTGTGTATGCATGATTTAGTGCTGCTAAATGTTGTAAGATTACCATATTTGATGAAGCCATTGACACCCCATGTTATGTACATATAAGCTCTCTGAACAGGTGAAAAGTTTTGTACTTTTAATACTTTATGTGCAACATGATATATGAAATGTACATAGAAGTAGAAAGCTCCTCAGATCTAAAACTGACACACCAAACACATGGAAAGCAATAAATTAGGATGGTCAAAACTGAACCACTTATGTGTCTCCAGTGAATACTGCCATTGGAGAAAATGGACCTATTTTTCCAAATTTTTTTTTTTTTTTTTTTTTTTTTTTTTACAAAAATGGTTGGAAAATTGGATTGGGATGTTGGACCTCTATAAGTTAAACTTTAAGTAAAACTTAAAACTACAAGTTTAACTACAAGTTCAAATAACCTAGGTATGTTGAATTACAATTACAATGTAATGTATGCCCAGAACTAGTTTTTAATGTACAGCATTCTGAATTTTTTAAGACATATTTTTGAGTCAGTTAAGGGTCTATGTGCCTTTGCTGTGCCTTTGCAGGGAGAAATAATGAATACCTGATATTGTTTTAATTTTCTGACAAAACATTTAGTTTTGCAATTTTCTTGGGGGATTTTTTTTAAACAGAATTGCTTTATCACCCATGGATATGAAACAGAAATGGATTATTTTGACAAGTAACAAATAATAGAGGAATAAAGAAAATGGTGCTTGTGTGATATGAGTTATTGAATCTAGCAGATGCTGATATGAAAAAGGGAAAGGTGAAAGAGAACTCTGAGAATTCTGTTACACTTTCTCTAAATGCATAGCATGCCAGCAGAAGAATCTGTGAGTTCTTCTTTGAGAACCTTTATTTCCAGGAACCATGAGTTATCCTTCACATAGTAAAGCAAAAAGCAGTAGCTGTACACCTTCCCAGCCCAGGATTAATACCGACTGGAAACCACTCAGTCAACCTTACCGTTTACTAAAGGCAGATAAGAAAGTCACTGAGAAATCATCAACATGCTATATCCAAGGGCTTTAATCAGTCCTCAGGCTTCACACATACATGTACTTCTGTTTAAGAAGGGATAGTACTGGCGAATTCATGAAAATGAAATGAAATCCTATTAAAAATGGTTATTTTTTATAATGAATATGTGAGACTCTATATGATAAACATAATTAATTTCATTTTATACATACAACTCTAAAAGTGAATACTGGCATGTGGGGATAAACTGGAAGAAAACTGTTTTCACAGCAGGACAAGGCTATTGGCAGTTTAACCTAATGTTTTTGGTTTGCACAATATGTTGTTTGAGAGACTAATGGAAATGGATATTGTATAGCCTGTACAGTTCAAACCTGGATGATATCCTGGTCTTCACTAAAACTGAAATATTAACTGATAGTGACATTTGCTAATACTCTGTGGTAAGTTGAGACTACAAATTTGAAAATGGACCCAAAGAAATGTGAACTGCTTCAAAATGAGATAATTTACTTTGCACACACAAGTGGGGCAGGGAGGGGAGGATTTCCACTGAGAAAGTAAAATTATGTGGTGCAGTCAGTGCCCTAGACACTAATAGATACAAAGATTTTTCTCAGACTGTGCTTTTATAAACCAATTTCTTTGAAGAGAAATGACTTGATAGTATATGTGGAATGGAAAGATATATATATATATACATATTTACATATATATATTTGCCGACTCCAATTAATTGCCCTTTGTGAAACAGCTCTTTAACTGCTACAATACATTTTGCAGCATTTTCATGTAAATGACACTGATTTATTGTAAGTTGTTCTAGGTGAAGAGTAAAAGGTAGTAATTTTACCAGCTGACCTCACTTAGGAATCAGGCAACTTTTAGCAAGAGCAGCGAGTTGTTACAAAAGAAAATGTATGTTCCCTAAAGAAGCTTCTTAGATTGGCTAAATCTGTATAACAACTGAAAACTTCTGTTTCAAGTACTTGAAGTTAATTGTACATCCTTGCAATAACTGCTTGGATTTAATAGTCGTCAGACAAAACCTAATGAGCAACTGGAAAAAATACTAGTCCCATGGTTGCACCACAAATAGATCTGGTGAAATGTAATCATACTAATTTTTTAACAAAATTTGTGGATTAGTCTGCATTACACTGTCCTCATTAGGAGAGCACTGGAATGTTTCTTAGAGGAGCTAATATGCTTGTGCAGAGATATCTCTCTTCTCCAAATAGTTTGGGACTATCCAGTTAAATAGAGCTAAATAGAGGCTTGCAAGAATAGAGTCCAGAACTCCTAAAAGTTTTCTTAGCTTCTTCATAATTGCAAACTGTATCATGGCAGCCTAACATCAAAAGATTAGAAAATTATTTTAAGGGTGTGTCTTCTACAAATACCTGTCTGACCAGTAATTTTTTGCAGATACTGTACTTGAAAAAACAATGAGGCTAAACATTAGTAGGGTATACTGGAATGAAGTAGTCCTAGCTGGAAGATCAGTGGAAAAGGGATCTTAATCAGATACCCTTTTTCTTTTGTTGACTTTCTGGTGATAAGCTAAAGAAAACAGCAAAGAGATTTTATGGGAGTTTCTGAAAGTTTAAGAATAAGAGTTTCCATTTGGACTGTAATAAAGCCCTGTCAAAAGTCCCACACCTTCTCTTGATAAAATGTGAAGATACTCGCTGATGTATCTATGCATATCTCTGTGCCTTTGAGATATGGTCATATGGTTAATTTTTCAAAGTAGAGACCTGATCAGTTCCTGTAGGAATCTCTGGGTACGTTAGAGCTCCAGGCAAAATACTTAAGAGGATGACCTGTACAGTGTCAATTCCCAAAGCAGTAATACAAAGAAGGCAATGTGGCCATAGGACTAAATTCAATAATACTTCCTCACACTTTAGCAACAATTGCAGCATCCTGTCCTCTCTACAATCAAGGTTTGAGATATTATGATAGTGATAATTTTTCCATTTGACACACGTAAGGTTTCACACAAGCAATTAATTCGGACAGTAATAAGTTTCTGTGAAGATATATTGAGGGAGAAAATACTATAAAAGAATCTGAACAAGTGTAAAATATGATGAGATTAGTGAGGTATGAATATGCAGCCACAGAATTAGTTTGCTACTGTGATAATAATTTACAAACTAATGATAAAAAGTCTTTTTTGGGTCTTGTGTTGTGCTTTTTACTTGTTTCAAGCTTCATTGGATTCAATAGGATTCATTGGATTCATAGGTAGCAGCTAATATGGGGGATGTTATGATTTTTATTTTACTGAACTCAAATGGGTAAGATTAAGATCTTCATTTCATTCAGGATAGAAGTAATATGATCTAAAATTTATATTTGGAATAAAAACCTAAAATAATAGACTTTCTGCTGAAATGAAGTTATGTATAAATGTACAAGAGATTCTAACAGTCAAGGCTGACTGGAGAATGACTGCATTGGAAGATTGCAAGTCTATGAGACACAAGTGAAGTCATCTGCCAGAGCAGAAAAAAAAAAAAAAAAGCCACAGGGGAGGCACTGAGAGTATAGTGCAAAGAAGCAAGCAGTACAGAATGCTTGCTGAAAGATATTTCTGTATTTGTTCTATAAACAAATAAAATATTTTTGCATTCTTTATATTTTCTTCAGCTGCTGTTATTTAAACTATAAAGCAAACAGAAGTGTTATGCTCTTGGCAAATAAAAGAACCGTATCAGAAATAACTTATTCTATCATCAGTTTCTCTTCTTGACTGAAAGAGCATGAAGAAATGTGAATTTTGACTACCTCTTTTCATCAAAAAATACAGCATAACTGTTCCTAGCTTGTCTATTTGGTAAGGATTCAATAGGGAAAGAGAAGTCTACAGTCAAAAACTGCAGATTTTCTAAATTCAGTAAGATTCATTTCATAGCTAAACCAGTAGCAGAAAAGATCTGGATAAGTGTGATAATGTCAGCAAGTTACTGGGAGGTATTTCTATCAGCAAGAAAGATATATGGATAAATTATACTTGTATGTCTGCCTCTTTGAAGATATGTCCTTAAAATACATTGTACTATCCTAGGAGGTTAAGTGCATTATTTTGTCATAAGAAGAATGATTCCTTGTAACTGGTTAAAGCACAGCTGTTATTCACTACATACATGACATTCTTGTAAAGGTATTTATTAATAATACTATATTAAATTTTATTTATTTTGGCATCTTCTGTGCATTTGGAATATTTTACTGTATGGGAGTAACCAATAGAAGATTGTATTTAACAGGTGCATAAGATAAGTGTATAACCATATTTATGTATGGATATAAGTACAGATAAAAGGAAAAAGAAGCATCTCCTCTGTGCTACCAATAGGAGCTTTAGATTGCCTTCACAGATTATCTTTTGATTTACTAAAGTGGTGAGTGAAAAAAAAAAAAAAAAAAAGAGAGAGAGAGAGAGAGGGAAGCATCAGTGGGCAGTAAGTATTATGCCTATCATATAAATACTGTTCTTATGTGATGATTAACAAGAAGGCTGCATTGGAGTTCAGAGTAAGATGAATATTTAATGTTATGACAGGTGAGCTAATAAACGTTAAAAAAAAATCTAAGGTAAGAGAAATCTACATATCTTTCTGTAGACTCTACTTCATAATATTTAACCATCCGTACCAATCAATTAGATAAACCTTTAAACCAGCTGACATTATTCTGCCAATTTCTAAATCAGAAAACTCAAGGATGCCACATTTCATCTTGAGGTTTGAAGGGTCAGATTTTCTTACAATAAGGGCAACATTTACTTCAGGGTAAAACAAGAAAAAACAGATGAAAGCATACATATTTTCTAATGCTTAGCCTTGTAATGGTTTCCCAGTGGATTCCCAAAGATTTTTACTTAAAAACATGACATTATTAACCAGTTATAAGAAGATACATATACAACTTCCACCTCCCGCTAAATTCCTTTACACTTCTTTCTATTTACCTGAATTTATTGATATCACCAAATTAATTAGAAAAGTTAAGAAGCTGTATCTTGAACTTTCCATGTGGCATTACCATAGACCAAATATAGCTTTAATTTCAAGTCACAAGCCCCTTTAAACCAATTTCTCATCATGTTCTGCAAAGACTGTTTACGTAGTATCTATTTTTTTTTAAACTTAGAAAACTTAAAATTAGATTTAGAATGAATTAGAAATTTAATTTTAGAATTAGTCAGAATTAATTTTATAATTAATTAGAAATTTAATTAGAAATTAGATTTAGAAAAATCTAGATTTTTCTCAGCAAACCTTAGAACTTGATTAAATTAATTTAAAAAACTACTTCAAGTAAATATAATGAAAGTTAATTTAATTTTTTTTCCTATGTTTTGAGTACTTCTGGATTTTTCTTTTTGAACTGCTTTTTCTGTTTTCTCAGTTCTTTCCCTGCCATATCTATATTAGACAACATATCACTGGTTTGTGTGAATTAGAGGAATCCATTTTACTTAGGAGCATCTGGCATTAAAAGATGTCTTAGCACAGTATGCCAGCTCACTCAACTCATAGGTAAAAAAGCTGACTAAACAAAAAATCTAATGGACAATCTGTCTCCTGCCTTTTAGGGTAGAGGGGAGAAAGAGAGCTTGTTTGTTATGAAATGATTGGTCTTATTCTTCGGATTTCTTCATCCTATGCACTGTTTCTATTAGGTTTCACTACAAAATCTGTATGGTTTACAATAACACGTGAATTAGACTGCAGAAATTCAGAGGAGATTCAAATGAGATTATTGAATTTTACAACATTCTCAACTCATTCACAGAGCTGGTTGGAAGACGGCAGTTATCCTCTGTGGTAGATTTTGAAGGCTGGTTGAACCACTATGAAGAATAAGCCTAGAAACTGTGTTTCTTTTATCTTTCTCCTGCACAGGTTGCTAAACAGAATCACAGAATCATCTAGGTTGGAAGAGACCTCAAAGATAGGGCCAACCAAACTGGCATAAAACAATGACATTTTCAAGCATAATTCTATCAAAATCAGTCTTATAGAGACTTTCAGTTTTGCAAACTATACATATGAATGAAAAGTGTTTAATTGGCCATTATGGCCATTTATTAGGATCATTAGCATCAAAAGGATATCCCAGACATATGTGAAGAATCATCTCTAAAGTCAGCACAAGTCAAAGCCATAGAAATGTTTAAACACATCTTTATCCTTCAGCTGGAAGATTGTTTTTAAATTATTATGAAAAGCATTTAGAAATATATGTTATATAACCTGTTACCACTCCAATCTATGAAAATCACTAGTTAACTTTAAAACGTATGAGCTTGTATTTTAGAAAACCTCAGATTTTGTTTCAGATAAATGATTTCTTCTCAGTTTCATCTTATGCTGAAAAACAAATCTAAGTCAGTTTGGGGAGTATGCAACAGCTACTTCATTTTATTTTGTATAACCAAATCAATTTCTATAATTTCAAGGCTAATATATTGTTGAGACAAGCTAAGCAGTAATAATTTTTGACTGTGACTCTGTGGAAATAGTCCAACTTAATTCTAATTAATATTTAGTGAATAATTGAATTCCAGTTATATACTAATGTGTTGTGTTTTGTTATTGTGTTTTTTTTTGTTTGTTTGTTTTGTTTTGTTTTAATTAAATAGATATATTCCATAGTGGTTTCTTTTCTTTTTCTTTTTTCTTTTTTTCCTTTTTTTTTTTTTTTTTTTTCTTAATGGCTACATATAATTCAAAAAAGCAGTCAAATGTGATTCTGCAGGGGAGATAAGATTTCAGTATCTGTAATCAGTATTAATTTTGTATTCAGTATTAATACTGTTTGAAATATTTTTCAGATAAAGTTTTCTTACTTTTGTTATTTATTTATTTATTTATACTATCTGTTTCTATGATTTGAATTACCCGAAAATTATTACTTTTGTTTATTTTGAAGGAAGTGAAGTATTGAATCGTGATGAACGAAGTTCCCTCTCAGAACAGATATATACAAAAGAGCCTACTCTGATTGAAACAATCTTCACAGTATTATCTCACTGCATTTTGTCACCCAAATCACTAGGAATTGCTTTTGAGACCTACATGGAAAAAGAGCACTTGTGGGATTACTTGTACAGCATGACAGGTACTTAGTTTATTAGAAAGTGTTTTAAATCTGATGTTAAACCTTATCAGTTTTCAGACATGTAGTGCATATTATTTTTGCTCTAATAAATGTGATTAAATGATTGTATGTTTCTTCAAAACTATGCTATAAATTGTTCTCAGTGACCAGGTCACTATAGGAACAGTGGAAATTTTGGAGAAAAGAGGGGTTACAGAACAGCATGGTAGGCCAGGATCTCCTTACCAGCAGGCTGGCAGCAGATATTGTCTGTAGGTCCTTACCAACACAAGATCTTTGTCCCTGTGCATTTAATAATACTATTTAAAAGTGAGAATCAACTGAAGGGGAGTAGAAGAAGAAAAGGAAGGACTACTGTATATGCCCACCACTTAGTCTGGTGGGCATATAGACTGCTGCCAAAAGGGAGACAGACTCCTAATTTTCCATGGAGAGGGAAATTCGCCATCATGATTGTTTTGCCTCATTCAACTAGAAAAGGGAGATGAGGTTTAGAAGGATGATATTGCAAATGACGGCTAAAAAGAAAAGGAAATAATAAAACAGGAGAAGGAATGAGCGGTAACAGAAATAAGAATATCTTAAAACAGAGAATATTGGTGGTGAAAGAGCTCAGGTGTTCCTCTGGGAAAAATGGGATTACAAAAAGTGGAAATCTGATCTTTAAGAGGAAGAAAAAGATAGAAATATTGTGAGGAAGCTTTGAGAAAGACCCCACAGAGAAGAAAAAAAAAAATTACACCAGAAAAAGCACAGACAAGCAAAAGTTAGGGCAAAGGACCTTAGTGGGAAGCATGTCAAAAAATATCTCTGATATGTCCTGCAGCACTCTGCCTGACAACTGCTGTTCCATTGCAATGGATAAACTGCAGTTCTCTGTGGTGTTAAGAATGTGGAGAAGATTGATACTTGTTGTAATGTCAATAACTGTATTTAAGATGTTCCATTTTCAACATGCAATCTCTGATAACATGCTATGTCTCTGTTGATGACTATTATTTCTATGCATTTTTGTTGCCAAAGTATCATTTCTCCTTTGCTGTTCTCTAATAAAACATTTCGGTTAGCTAAGAAATATCACTGTATTAATGCTTGCAAGACAAGGAAATAACAAAAAAATAGGTATATCTACTCAACTCATTAATGTCTAGCAAGTAATTAAGTGTACTCCAAATAAAAAGGAAAATATTAATCAGATTAAATTTTGAAAAAAAAAAATTGCTGATGAGAAGCCATGAAGTAGAGGAAAAAAATGAAATTGTATTGTATTGTCAGTAGTGTATTAAGATGGTACAAGATGCTACATTGTTTTGCTTTATATTATTTCTTTAATTTGTAGCAGGTTGATAGATGTAAGGTATTTGAATCATAATGTTGTTACTTTTCTTTCTATAAGAATTCTGAAACACTTCTTTCTGAAACAGATTTGAACAAATGACTGTACACTCACTGAATATTTAATAACTCTTTCTTCTGAAGTTTCCAGTTGTGGCGAGTTGGAGCCAGAGGTTATCAGATGCTTGAAGTTGACTTTGATTAATTCAGTCAAGGGTATAGTGAAGCAGATAATTTCTTTGATGCATTCATGGGAGGCAACAGAAAACTATGGAACATATCAGCACAAGCAAATAGTTCCTGAAAGTTTACTGAAAACAGTTCCAAAGGAATGGAATTATACACCTCGGGAAATGAAGAGAAAGGAGTCTGGGAAATGTGGGTGACATTTACACTCTCACATAAATTTGTCTTGTTAAAAAGGCTTGTTAACCCTTTAATGTGTATATATTAAAATTAAATATTTAGACTTCATGAGTGTTATATAACCATATAACCTTAAGGAAAACAGATTCCAAACATCCTGTTGATTGTTTTTATTTGATTGTTTTGTTGTTGTTTTTTACTGGTGTTGGGTTTTTGTTTTTTGTGGTTTTTTTTTGTTGGTTTTTTTTTGAGGGGGGAGGCTGTTTGCTTTGTTGTTTGATTGTTTGTTTTTTAAGTGTTTAGCACTAAAATTCAGCTTATTTGTTTGTTTATTTTTTACTTAAGGCTTATACCTTGCATACACCAACAAGCTTTTTAAAATAATCAGTACTGTAGTACTACTAATAATAATACCATTTAAATGTATGTATGTATGTATGTATTTATTTATTTTTAGTGTCTGGCAGTTGTAAGGAGGGATTCACGGGAGTGTAAAGCATAATATCTATGCTCTTGCCTTAATGGCAATAACTTCTCACAGTTATCAACTTTTCAATCTGTACGGTTTAAATGTAGGTATATAGTGTTGACTGAAATTATACCTATTTTTTCGTCTCAACCTCACACAACAATTTATTCTTGCATAGCACTAAAACTGGTGCTGAATTCCGTGGTGCTTGACTTTTGAAAAATTGACTGAAGAAAGATAAATAATGTATATAACAGGATATTTTTCAAAGGTTTAAAGATACTTTTGTTAAGTGCCTAAGCCCTCCATCATTTCAAAAGGCTAACTTGAGGAATTTCACCAGAAATTTATTGCCACCTGATTATTTTTAGTACAATAAGAATCACTGTAGTATATTTTTGCATAAAGGTTTGGAATTGTAGATTGTGGGAAAGCCTGCTTCAGAGTGTTGGGCCATAAGTCTATTCTTTCCATATATCTTTTCTTCAGCATCTTGATACACATTTTTGCAGTAGTGTTCTCACTGAGTCTCATGGCATTCTAACAAATGAACTTTATGCCAGAACTTCTATGACTATTTCAGGCTGGTCTGATAAGCCTGGTCTGATATGACTAGATGAGAAGTAAGGCTTACATTTTTGAGCAAATCTACCTTCTCTTTTCTATTCTTTTTTTTTTTTTTTTTTTTTTTTTTTTTTTTTTAAATGAGTTAAGACTGGAAGTGAAAGGGATGAATTTTTTTCTTGATTTGTTTGCTTTTTGTTTTCTTCTTCTTGTCATTTTTTTTTTGTTTGTTTGTTGTTTTTAATCCACACATGAATCTGCATTGTAGCTTACCTTTTGGTTCATTTGTTTCATTTTAGATATGCCCTTGGTTTTTCAACAGCATATTTTCTGTAGTTGTTTTTATGCTTATTGTTAATATCTGTAGTACTTAAAATGGTGTGCTATGTAGTGTGTGCTTCTTTTATTTAAGCTGATAAACTGAAATTTTGTAGGTTTGAATATAAAAAAGGACTGATAGAAAACAAGATTATAAACGTATGCAGTATCCTGATACATTCAGTACAATGCTCAACTCTTGAAAAAAATATTGCACTACAATTTTGAAGGCAACTTTTTTACCATTCAGAATACCAGGGTGTTCTTAATTTGTCCTGGAATAACTGTGCACAGCAAGATTAATTGTTAACAGAGTCACAGTGTGAATTCTAGATTTTGTAGGTTCTCTAATTTGTGTTATTGTTTAGATTTTGGGGGATTTATATAGAGGAAGCATAATACAAGTCAAGCTACAGTGTTGAGTACGTACGTTCTATACCCATTTTCAGTACAAAAGAAAGTTAGAAATTATACAACATTCAGAAGCTTGCTGTGATAGAACTAGAATGTTAATGTTAATCATATTTCTTTTCTTTCTTTTTTTTAAGGCTTCACAAGGCTTGCAGCTCAGGCAGTATCTATTGTAATCAGCAAGTTACCTACAGTGATTGCATGTTTGCCTCCCCCAATTAAGTACTTCTTTTTTCTGGCTGAGAGAAAAATGTCAAGAAACTTTGCTGAATTGAAGAAAGCTGGTCTGCTTGTCTGGAACTTGATTGTAATTATATGTCGGATATTTGAGGATGGAAATACTGCAGAACTTTTAACAGGTGCAACGCTTGACAGATGGAGCAAAGAAAAACTCAGTTTAATTCGTGTGTGCTTAGAAAGTATTATGGGAAAACAGAAAAGTGGTCCTAAACAAGTGACCCAGAAGGTTATACAGAGCATTGAACAGCAAAGACCAAACTGGATCGAAAGCCAGTTGCTGAAGGCAAGAAAATTGAGCACAGACTGGTAAGAATTTAGTACTTTCCAAATGCTATTGTTTATTCTTTAACTTACTGAATTAATTATATGTTTATGGCTGTTGTTCAACTAAAAAATATTTAGATAATTAATGATATTGTGTTATATGAAATAGACTTGTTCTTAATATTGATGGCATCATAGTATGTTTTTGCAAGTGAATTGCGTGTCTGAAACTGTTGTTTCAAAAGTCTTTTTATGGTCCTTAGAATGTTACATAGTTTGTTTCATGTTTTGTTTCATATTTTTTCACATATTCATGATGATCCAAAAAGGTAGATAATTTAGTCAATATATCTTTCAGAACATGAACAGGTACACTGACTAGAGGGCACCGCAATGCATTTATAAATGAGTTTTGCTATAGTGATTAAATTAAGGACTATAAAAGGCTTTCCATGTTCATCTGAGATTAAAAAGTAAGCATATTTCCTTTTAAAACATAACTAACCCAGGGGGCAAGTAGCATATATGAAAACAGGACAAGAAAGTACCCTGCTGTGCCTTTCTGAGGAAATACCAACTTTTCCCTGTAGATTTGACATTTAGGTCCAAGTTTTTAAATCCTTATAATGGTTTTTCAAGAATTTCTGTACATGTTAGCATGTTCATAGTCCTGTTCTAATGTTGAAGTTGTGTTCCACTCTGTAAAAACACTATTTGTCAACTTCCCAATATTAGATTTATTGGAGTGACAGGACTCAGTGAATTAAACAGTTGGCTACACTGAAAGTAAGGGTGTTTTTTTGTTGTTGTGTTTTGTTTATTTTTGTTGTTGTTGTTTTTCATGTGTTTGTGTGGTTTTATTTCCATTAATATTCTTGAAGGTTCCAGACATTACCATCCTTACAGTAATATAAGCATAAATAAACAATATAGTGATTGTAGGTAAGAATCACTGCTATTAATGAAGAGGCTTTCATGCAACACTTTAAGGCACAGGATCCCATTCCTGCAAGTAGTCAGGCAACAAGAGTAGTATTAAATGGCAACAGTATCACACAAATGCTCATTGACATTGACCTTTGTGATCTTTTACATTTCCATTTAATACTAATTTACAAGTTCTAATCCAGTGATTAGAGGATTGAAGCCAGATGCCAGCCACTGAAACAATCATGGAACAAAACCAAAAAAACTAAGATGCACAAAATGTATAGATGCTTTAGATTAGATTAGGAGAGCATCCTAATAGAATTCCTAATTTACCAATAGAACAGGTGTTTTTAAAAATAGTATAAATGCAGTGTAAGACAAATATTGCGATACTCTCTAAGAGCTAAAGCTTTAGTATTTGCAAGTCTGCTGAAGGTGAGAATTTTTAAGTACTATCAATTTTCTAACATATCAGAAAAATGCAAAATATATTATTCATAACAGGTATCACACTGTGGAAAAAATGCTTTCTGTATGTCTATAGTGTCTTCCAAATTGAGAACCAGTTTGTGATCAGGGTTTCTAACAGTAAGCTTAAGAAACTGAACAATGCATTACTTAACTCTCCCAAGTGAGTAGATATATGATGCAGTTAGGAAACTGTTTTCTGACTTCAGTGGGATTTCTACAATAGGAGTATAGAATAAATGTTATTTTTATATTTTGTATACAAGTATCAACGGTCAATTACTGGGAGAAAAATGTATTTATTAGGTAGCTGAGATATGCAGTGTAGAGATAAAATATTGTTATAAATGTGAATTGTAAAACTAATATATTAAAGCTGAAATTGAAATATTTAAACTAGGTAATGGTTGTGTAACCACTGAACTAAAGGCAGATTTTTTCAAGGACACTACATGTATTGTGATGTTTATGTGATTTGTTTGAAATCAGAATGGTTATATTCAGTATAAAAATACATTCTGTATAACCTTTTATAATTCAGTCATTTAGTGGATAAATTTATGCACATGCATTTTTATGTATATTCATACATGTTTATAGATTTTTAATATATACAGTGTGTGGAAGAAAAATAAAAACAATGAAATCCAAAAATGTATGTGTGATTCACAGACCCAGCTGTGGAAAACAACTTTGATGTGCACCAGACTTTTATAAGCAAGTCTTGCATAATTTTATGTTGCATTATTGTTATCAGAAATTGGCTTCACAAAAAGTGTGAATATTATATAGGTTATTGCATTATGGGATACAAATTCAACTTACTTTTTAAGGAAAAACAATTGCAGTGAAAGATTGTTCTATGCATTGCCTGTCTTGTGTACTGCATGAAAACATTACTATTCATTAAAATAACCTTCACTTTATAGTAGCACCAGAGCTGTAAACAGTCACGTTAGGTTCTGAAAGAGCACACTGCCCAGAAAGAAAAGAAATGTCTGTCTTTGGAAAGTAATTTGTCGAGTTGAAGATTATTGTTTTTCATCATGGTGACCCTGACTTGGCTGGCTGGGTGCATATACAGATTAAGATGAATGCAGTTATTCCTTGGCTGAGGTCTGCCTCTTTCAGGGCACATTCTTCCTAATGACATGATTGATAGGCAGTCCCAAATCCAGAGAGGAACTCATTAATCATAGCACTGACTGAATCCAATCATCTGCTTCACCTGCACACTGACGGACAGGAAAGGATAAAATTTGGGTGCTGACACTGATAGACTCCTTTGTCAGAGGTCCTCAACTTTTTCAATGTCAATCGCTAAGAAGTTGACAAGAAATTCAGGTTATATCTATATGTGACATTGAAACATCAGCCTTAAGCGTACTTTAAGTTTAAAGATCGATGTCTTTGAAGCTTTTGTGTAAAATAAACCATAATAACAGAGTATTCCTTACTTCCATTCAGCAAAGAACAAAATTATAGTTTATATTTTGAAACTATTTGCTCTGTAGGAAGTTCTGAAGCTGCATGTGGAAGCAATATCAGCTTTAATGTCCAGCAGCTGTGCAGCATTTAAGTGAGCCTTCAGGTCAAACAGCAACTTTCAGCAGAACTAACTTGGTAATCACGGCACATTTTCAACAGTAAACTGCAACTTACAGCTGACAATACCAAAGTATTTGTATTTTTTCACTTCTAAAATGTAAAACATTGGGGATGAGGGATTGGGGGGGTGTTAGTCAGAGTGCTTATTTTGTAGACTTTAAATTAATCAAAATAAAGATTGGAGAATACATAATATTTTCAGTTGGTCTTTCAAGTTCTTGACGTGTCTGGATACCAACATACATTTGTGTTGCAGCTCAAAAATTGGAGGAAAGAATTACTTTTAGTACTTTTTATTATTATTATTAATACTTTGCCAGTCTACAATATTAAGCAACTACAGAGCTGGTAACTTATGTTTTTATCCAGACAGCAGTCTGATAATGGTCAGAGATCTGAATGTCCACTTTTTTGAGGCGTTTTGACCTGTCCCCTTCATTTATTTTTTTTTTCCTCTCCTTTTTTAGCAGTTGGACACTAACATTATTAAGAAGGGGGAAAAAAAGGAAAAGTACAGGGCAAAAAGTGCAACAAGTGGCAAATAGGTACCTTTGAAATGGTTACCAGCATACCAGCGGAAAGAAAAAGACTTCATTTTAAAATTTCTAACCTATACTTAGAGTAATGGCTACCTTTCTGACATGTTAATTAGGCTTTAATATGTGCAGCGACAGGCAAAGAAAAATGTACAAAAGATCGAATGCAAATGCTACTGGGAATGGCAAAGATACTTCTATAGTGGAAAAGAAAATAAAAAAATATTTGCTCCTTGTATGTCCTTACAGTAAAGAATGTTTTAAGTTCTCGGTCTTTCTGATAAAAATCGGTAAAATTCGTGTAATACTAAAATGTTATCTTTAATAACCTTTTAATTGTTTAGCATTTTTTAGTGTGAAGGTTTCAGTAATGTATACAGCAACATTTGTGCTGTGCAAGCCAAATGTTTAAGGATTTTACACGTGTTTTCATCTGACTTTGTATCAATATTTTGATTTTTAGTAGTTTAAGAATATTTTTTAATTTTTCATGTTCCAGTGGCTCGGTTGCAGTGGAAGGTGCACCGTTAGAGGAAGAAGGCATTGCACTTGGATTCACTGAGCAGAAAATAAACATGATGGTCCTGGATATCTGCCACAAACCAGGTGGCAGCGAGTACCTGAGGCAAATTTATCACATCATCCGGCTCAATGAGGTAGGGAAACGGCCTTTTTACCGAGCAATTAGGTGTGTACTGGCCTGAGGCAGCGTCTGCTGGCAGCTAAGGGTTAGTCAAGGAGGTGATAATGCTTCTTAAAGTCAATATGAAATCCTATATTGTATTGTAATAGAATCCATTCAGTTCAGGCTTTTCTGCATTTGTACAGAAGAGATTACTTTATGGGGAAACAATGTAGATTTTATTTATGTACTTAAACTGTATTATGGCACATAAACTTCCTTTAGATTTGTACTGTAGACCATAGATACATTTTAGGAGCTTAAGCACAGTTTAAAAAAGGAAAAGAAAAAAAAACAAAGACACACCACAATAGCAAGGCTATTGAAAAATTGACTGTTACAGGAAGTAAAATTAAATGTGGTAAATCAATTCTTCTGATTTAAAAAACAAACAAATCCCACAGCTGTACTGAGGAAGTAAACGCATCCAAATGAAAATCTTACTTAATATAGATAACTGTTCAGTTAAAGTGCTTTGAAATTATAGTAAACAAACTCACATTTATTTGCTGCACATGGAATTTCGGTAAGGTAAAAGAATTATATCATTATTTCTGAGGCTGTACTAAATTGCTGCAAGTTACCAAAAGCATTCTTATTTTATACACTGAAGTAAATGCAGGTTTGCTTAAATTGTATGATAACAGATCTACACAGCTTAATTAAGAAAGTTCTGTTTATTAGCTTTAATTACTAAATTACTATTCCTTGAATGCATAAGCAGGTGCTGTTAAGATCATTGCAGCTATACCGAAGTGTTTATAATTAAATGCAAAATAATGCAAATATAGGCACAGGCCAAGATTTTGCTTAGGAAAAAAAAAAAAAAGAAGATAGCAAAAAAACAATTAGGCACCTATGTCTATATGAAGGCAATAAAGAACAGCTTCATGCAGGCAGTTTGCTTCTGAAAATCAGATCAACTGTTTAGCTCCTAAGTACAGGCTTACAAGCAACCTTTATCCATCTGCATTTGGAACTTTTAGAAGCAATGTAAGCATGTATGTAGAGATGGCAACCTAATATTAATACAATACAGAATCTTTTCAAGTTTCATCTCAAACAATTAAATGGTTCAGGAAGTGAAGTGAAAATTATTACTGTAATACAATTCAAACAAAACCTTTTCACCTGGAGTACATTCAGGATTACTCTTCGTATAATGAACTGAAGAAAAGATGATGAGCAAGACCTCCTAAAATAACATATAATACGGTAGCTAGGGCAGTCACCTAACGGACCGTATATGCAGGCTCAACTCTTTATTCTTCTTGGTTTAGAATTTGTATCCAAACTAAATGCCCAAACCGCTAGACCATTAGCTATCAGCATAGAACTTTGTCGTTTTCCCTTGATGGAGTTGTTTTGCTTTGTAGAAATTGCTGTAATAATCCATTCTGTAACTTCTAGGGTCAGAAATAGAATTGTATTCTAGCTGAAGGAGTAGAATGCCCATATCAGGTTCTGGAAACCCTGATTCAAGATCTCACTCCTATGAGTATTCAGTTATTTATACAAAGTGGAGCAGCTCCGATAGGATGTAAGAAGCTGAGAGAACTAGGTGGAAGAGGGACTTCAGTCTGTCTTTCCACATCCCAGGTGTCTCTCCTTGAATTTGTGCAGATAGTATGAGCTTCATTAAAAAAAAGAACATTTTTCAGTGGAGAAAACCTGTCTTGTTTAAGAAAGAAAAAAAAAAATAATAAAATCGTGACCAGCTTGACTGCACAGAAGGACTTATGAACACTACTTCAACTTGGCTTTGAAACCATTATAAAACATTTTAATGCTTAGTGTGGCATAACGGTAATGCATTTTTCAATATTATTTTTCATAATTTAGATTATTTTTTTTGGTAGTCAGGCACATTAAACAGACTTGATTTCTATTTGAAGGTCCGTGCTTTTCTTTGTAGACTCCTTGGACTGTCAAGGCGTCACATTCTTAAAATTAGTTTGGAGATCTTTATGCTACAGCGATTAATAACTGCAAGTGAATAGAGAACAAAATGATGAGATGGAAAATCTTGGCTCTCAATAATTTTCTTAAGAAAGTCAGGGGAAAAGGGATATAGATTCTTACAAGCTATGTTTGGAAACAGAGCTACAATGTGATAAAGCCCTATTACAGATACTGTAGAACTCAGAACATTCAACAGTCCTTCATGTATTTATCAAGAAGAATAATTATTTTTAAAGTAATTTTCACTAATTGCTACCAAAGAGAAAACAACCCACCTGAGCTGTCAAGCTCACAAATACTCTGTCTGCTTTGTTTCATGACCAGTCATTGGTAGTAAAGATAGAGCTCACATATTTACAGTCATGATTTCTCTTCTATCTATTAACACATTTCTGAAACATTACCCTTTCTGACTCTACAAAATGTACCATACTAAAGGAGTCCTCAAAGTAATACATATATCACTGTTGATTAAGTCTCTGTGTCAAATCCACGGTATTCCAAAGACAGGAAAACACCTGTAATGGGAATTGAGCTGTATACCACTTTCAATGTTCAAAACCCTTGCAAGCATGAACAGTGAGTTCTAATATATCTTCTGAAAAACCAACAGATTCTGTTTCTTCTGGAGCTGAGATGCCCAGATAGTTGGGTTGCTTTAGGGCTACCTACAGGTTTTGAGAAAATCTGTGCATGTAAGGTGCTATATTTAAAAAAAAAAAAAAAAAAAAAAAAAAAAAAAAAAAAGTACATGTGTAGAAATATCTTTATTTAAGATATTTATTATTTAATAAACCCCTCATTATGACTTCAAAATCTTTGCTATGGCATGAAGCAATTGATGAATGGAGAAAAAGGGGAGGGGAGCGAAAACCAAAACACAATGCTGAGAAAATATAGGTAGAAGACTTATGGTATGTTTTGACAGCTGTATTACACTGTTGGTTTAAACTGAAAAAGCAATGAGTTCTATTTAAGAAAACAAAAATACTCTAGGATAATTTTGTGATTGTTTAAGCAGTCCTGTCTACAGGTTGCAGCCAATTGTCAGTCCTACTCTTTCTCTTCCCTTTGTGTTTTGCAACTCTTAGGGCCTCCTTTGCACTAGTACTAGAAATTGTGTGACTTTCTCATCTGGCTGAAACCTTTTTTTTTTTTTTTTTTTTTTTTTTTTTTTTGCTGATTTCACAACATATGCTAGTGCCAACGCAAGGGAGAAAGGGAGAAACAACCACAATCCAAATTGGGAGGAAATTCATGCCTTTCAGGCCAGGCCACATCTGAATCAGTTTAAAGTGACGGTGAAATTATTGTTTTAGAAGGACCAACTTAGAAGTACAATGTCATGTAATGTAGTTTACACACTCCCTCATTTGAGTCTGATTTTATTTTTTTTTTTATTAACCCAGTATTACTGCAAAGTAAGAGGAACACTTGCATCTACCCATCTTAATAAAGACTCACCTTGAGTGAGCTCAATGTTATGGCAATCATATTATTATGGACTTCATTTTAATAACAATAAACTGTTTAATCACAATAGTCCTTCCAGCAAATAGATCTGTAAGTGTTTCATTATCTAGCTCTTCGTAAAATGGTTCTATTTAATCAAAACGCTTTATTGGCATGCAATGATGATTTATTTACATAGTAGTTTAAGAAGTGAAAACAGAGAAGATTGTGGCCAAAATAATCATGTGTCTGTTACATGGCAATTTTAGAAACTACAGTGTAAATCGCAAATGAGTTCTAGTCTTCAAATGCTTAAATAATTAAAAATAGTTTTGAAGAGGGGTAGAGTATTTATTTCCTGTGTTTAAACAACAGATTTTATAGTCATGTAGTGACTATGTAATGCTGCCTAAAAAACAAATATGCCTGTATACTTTATCATATAAAAGAGATTATATACATTAGAACAGCTCATAGAAAACATTTGTCTTTCACCACCACATAGACCTAATGCATATCTTAAATGAGAACTGTTAAACATCACTGATGATAAATTCAAAACAGTACCTGATTATTCTGATTTGCTTCAGTTCAATATTCATAGGAGCTATTTATTGTTGTAGGGTGATATTACTCTTGAAAATGTCTCTATTTTGAGAGAGATATTTTATTTTCCCCTTTAGCATTAGGAAGCACACAGTAAAGTTATGCCTGAAATTTGGGAAATTTCAGTTAAAAGGCTAGGTGGCATGTAATTCCTTTTTTTTTTTTTTTTTTTTTCTCTCCTTAAAAGGAATATTTGAAAGAGCAGCTGTCTTGTGAGAATTACTCTGAAGAGAGTGTTACCTCCAATCAATGCCTGCCTTTGACACTGAAGGGCAGAGAAGAGCAGGCTGTCTTCAATCCTTTCCAGGTGTACAGCCAATCTTGTGCAAAAGTGTTCAATCAGGTTTGTGAAAATCTGAAACCTTGGTTATAGTATAATTTTTACTTGTCAATCTTATTATGATCATGATAATGACAGAGACTGAAATTATGAAAAAAGAATTAATTACATGAGTTCACTTTTGATGAAGTGCAAAAGAATATTATTACTCAGGATTTTAATGAGGGCACTCTCTACAATATCATGGTGTTCAAAAAGCCATTATTGTCCTTTTCTTTTATCAGAATTATTGCATATAAGAGCAATTTGCATTTAGTTAGACTTTCTGTGTTAGTTCAGTATAGTGAAGGAAAACCTATTAGTAGCAATGACATGTACTACATCTGTGTAATGGTAGATGAGGCTAGTCTTAGTCCTTTGAAAAATCATGGCAAATCTCCAAGTGCATATTTAGAGTCTTACCTGATGAGGCTTTCACAGAAATGTTGAACAGTAACGTAAACTTTGGAAATACAGAGAAGTGAGAGTAAGTGCCGGAGGGGGGAGAAATGAAAGCATGCATTTCTGTGTCACTTTCCTGGTATCATAACAAACATATAGAATATATCTACTTGCATAAACCTATGCCAGGGAGCCACACGACTAATTCATTCCACAAAATGAATTGTATTTGATTGGACTTGGACACCTACAGAATCTTACACCATGGTTTCTCGACTTCCTAATTCATCATCTACAGTTTTGATTGTTCCCCTACAATTTCAAACATTTAAAAAAGAATGGCATTAAAGTTGCATGAAATTCACTTTACAGACTTTTGATTGAAAGACACTATTCTTCAGTACAACTTTGTTTTTAATTTGTATCATCTGCATTCTCAGTTGTGAACATTTTGGTCTATTTCACCAGTTGTATTGCTGTAAAATATATCTGTTTTTTTCTTTTTTTTTTTTTTCCTACTTGTTTAATCAATACTTAATCATTGTCATGTTACAATCAAAATGCTAATGTCCCGAAAAAGGAGATTAATATCAATTTCACATGGCTTCTCATTCCAGAAAAACATGTTTTAAAGTGTCTTTTTTTCCTTCCACTGGTCTCTTTATGTATATACTCACTTGACAGAACCTAAGGGGGTACAGATTCAATTTGAAATGCAGAAAACAGTTTACGTGCCTCAATTCATTAATAGTATAGTAGAATAAGACCTTCAAGTAGTGACAACTCAGGGCAGAATTCTTCTGCTATATGATGGGTTTGTAGTGCTCTATTAATCAATAGATGACAATGGATAGTTGATATTAAATCACTTTGTATTCTGTAAACTTTTGGCATAAAGTCTATTATCAGAATATGGAAGAATATCTTAGAATTAAGGAGAAAAAAAAACACAATGCAGTAGATCACAAAGCTAAAAGTATCGTGTGCTACCCCTGTTGTTCATAATGACAGACATATTTGCTGAACTTAATAATATTATTAAAGATTTCTCCCCTTCAATACAAATTACACTTTTATTTACTGATGTGGGACCTGCTATTTATTAAATAGTGATCCATGTAGTTCAGTGTCTGGTCTCTTGCAGACTATTTGCTAACCTAGAGGACTGTCAGAAGATGCCAGAGCACTGCAAAAGAACAATTATTCTTATGGGATATATCTTTTTCTTGCATTCATCCTTAGTAGCTGGCAACTGCCATGAATCTGAAGAGTTTATAATCCATTATTAATTTTTTTATTTTTCTTTAAATCTAATGTAGCCAGATGTGTTTTCAATACAGGAACTAACATTTGTTTCTTAATAAATTCTAAGTCAAAATAAGCCCATTGTGATCCTGGTTTCACAACGCTGTTTACTGATGGGTTAATTTTGTATTGTATTTAAAAACTTCTCTCTAAGAAGGGCTAAACGAATAGACAATGCTGCTTATTGAGTCCTGCAAGCTGGCCAGAGAATGTTTGTATTATGTTATGCTATTTTATAACTGTAGACGTGTTCTTAGCTTCCTCAGTAGAGGATTGTTTAAATGGAATTATTTCAGAAATAATTCCTGAAATAATAACTGAAAGGTAAGTTATAGCAGACACATCATATATTGTTTTTTGATCAGTTTTTGCAATACATTATGGTGGTTGATTTTTCCGTTCTGTTTTGCTAATTCATCCCCACTGTGCCGTCTTTGGCAAGTTACGTAATCATAATTTCTAAGAGTTTTACTGCTCCTGAAACAAAGGCCACCAAACTGATATTTTGAGATCAACTCTATGATTTTTGTTAAAGATATGTAATGTTTTTTACCTTCTTACCCTCGGTTCAGTAGATGATTCTATGAAGTATGTCATTTCTGTTAACAATTCAGCTATTTCATTCTTACATTCCTGCAAAAAATCTTGAATAATCACCATCTGTTCCTAGTAACTTGTTGCTCTTGATTTTATCAATTTGTCCTGACACTTCAGTCTCTGCCAGTGCTGCTGCTCTATTGTCTAATAAGATTAAGTCCAGGCTGTGCAATGTCTCAACAGTATCAATGAAGAAAAATATTTAATAAATATAAATATATATGTATATATTTACTTTCCCTTTCCTGAAGTATGGAGGTATTCTGCATGTGTAGTTCTTGTTGTTGCTTTCTTTTTCTTTTTACTTATTTATTTATTTATTTATTTATTTATTTCTTTCACAGAATTGGTCCGCCTGGTGGACTGAATTTTATCTGTTAGACTAGTAAATTTTCCTTGTTGCCACTACTGGCAGTTCAGCTTCTCCTTTTTATCTTGCTTGATTTTACAAGTATTTCCTCTGTATTTACTAATTTCTAACTCATTTCAGAGTATTGAACAGTTGCCTGTTCTTTCCTCTATATTTTCCTACTGTTCTTTCAGTTGAATTTTTTCCTTATTTCTTGTTTATTAGATGTTCACTGCTTCTTTTTTTTTGTTTGTGTACTTCCACTTTTACTTTGTTATTCCTTCTTTAGCTGCCCTTATCTCCTGTATTTCACCTTTCTTCTTCTATGTTAATTTTAAGTGCATCCCAGAGACGGCAATTAGTAAGAAAATGAAAAGAAGGAAGAGAATAACTAAGGGTGGAAGGAAAGGGAAGGACTACCTGGAAGGGATTGCACTGATCCAGCTCTCCCAGAACAACCAAGTGATGTCTATAAGAAGGAAAATATATACTGCATGACACGCTTCAGTCTTCCTATTTAGATATATTTCCATTGCTATGACTAACTCACCTATTTTTATTTTTTATTTTTTAACTGAGTGGTATTTTACTGTTACAATAATAATTTTTTTAATGATTCCCTCCAAAGAATGTTGAATTGTAATCACTAGTTGACCAGTACTGACAATGAAAATTACTATTACACAGCAGTTATTATTTTACAAATATAAGAATGTGGTGCGTGGTCTTTTGTCTGCCCACCCTTATTTTATGTTGCTTTTATTTATTAAATAAGCAGCATAGAGTTGTATTATTTCATATTGTCTAGACTTACTGCTGTTTATAATAACCATCTGGTGACTGGAGTGTCTTGCAAAAAAATAAACAAGTAAACCATCACTGTAATTAAGATACAGGTTACATCTTGAATTCCAACTATGCTAAGTTTTTCATGACAAACTTTTTGCTGATGGCAGAAAATAAAAATTTCTGTTACATAAAAAGTTGACAATTATTTTGCTTTCTAAACAAAGAGTCAAGCTCTCAGACAAAGTGGTTGGGCAGAATGCCATTAACAGTTGGAAGAATAACGGTTCAAAAAATTGATTTATCTTTTTATAAATAATGGTTACATTCCCAAATGGATTTATAAATTAATTGCTGTCGTATTGGAATAAAAACCTTCTCCTGTGGACATGATTGATATCATCTGTCTAAGTCCTTGTTCTAGACCCCCCTCCTTCTTGGTTAGTATATCACAGCTGGAGCTTTAATTTGCTGATGATATTAACACTGATTAATAACTAACAATAGCTTCTTGCCATGTATCAACAGTCAACCATTACTGAATGGAACTGGGATTGGTCAAATTTCCTGCCAAATTATTTGGGACTGAAGCAGATGACCTTCAGGGTGCTGCTGGCACACAGGTAAGGGGATTCTGGCAATTAACTGTGCTTTCCACTTGTCTGCCTTACTTTAAAATGGTCAGTGAATATATAATTTTCTGGTGAACTTTATAAAATAAATTATATATTTATTTTTAAATATGCAGTTTTTAAGTTGAGTTACTTATTGTCTTTGTGTATTTGATTCATGCAAAGATGAATTCCTGTTTTGAAGACGTAGTTTTTTCTGGCTTAGACATCAATCTATGTTGATATTGTCCATAAACTGTGGTTTGAAAAGAAATAAGTAATTGTTAACTTTGCTAGAGCTATACAGTCAATGGAGATTTCAGCAGAGAACTTTGGGGATGTTTGTTCAAATTGTAATGAGTCTTACATTCATCTGGGAGCATGAAAAATACAGCTAGAAATATGAAGTATTTCTTTAATAGGTTTTAACTAATGAAACTTATGTTAACAGTGTTTTACTTCTAAAATTTATATCTATTTACCAACTAAGGAGATATTAAATTGAGGTTATACTTGTTAAATTTGGAAAGAGCAATTTTTAAAATTCCAAAAATTACAGGTGGAAAAATGGGTGTATTTTATAAAATACTTCTTACATAGCCTTGTAAGAACTGGAAAACATATGTTGTGAACCAAAAAGTTTAATGCTCTTTTCATAATTCTGAAACCTCGTAAGGGTAATATCTGTTATGGTTGTATCACTTGCCTTTTAAAGTGAACTGTTTTAGAAACTGCTGATGATTTCAAAAGTATATTACTTGCATGTCAAAAATATTTGTTTTTGTCACATTCTTAATTTATCACTAACAATTAATGTCCTACACACTTAAGTCCGCCCTCATTTTATATGTAAAATATTTTTGCAGTTTATTTCCATTCATCTTAATTTTGCTTTGATGAATTTTTCTCTTACTTAAATAGTTATTTTCCAAAATTTCAGTACAAATGCATAGAAAGTTATGCTGGCAAAAATGCGTTCTCCATTTTGCCAGTCAGTTCTTCTCTTGATGTCCTCTATTACCCAGAACCAAGCAGAATATAGGATTATGTGGAGATCTTGGTCTGTACCAGTAGTGTCATTTTTATGGCAGAGACAATTCAGCTCTGCTTCTTTAATTTGATAATACTCCTGCTGATTAGTAACTCCTGTCCTTCATTTAAAAATGAAGTAAACTAAAAAAGTTTGTCCTCTTAAAGGAGAGTTTAATAGTCTTAGACTCCAGATGGTTCTGATACTTCCCTTTGTGTTGATGTCATCTGAGACAAATAAGAGACGTGTTTTGCAAAGGGAACATTTTCTGTGGTCACTTCTTCTCCAGTGTCTTTAAACACATTTAATTTTCATTTTGATCCCTGTACAAAGTTTAAAAAGAAGCCGTGTATATACCTTCTCTGTCCTCTGTATTACATGCTTTTATCACATCATCTATTGCATCTCTTTTTTCCCTTCAATAACTGCCCTAATTTTTGTCATCCTTCCTAATTTGAAAATGTCTCCATTCACTGCCCTTCTACATGATATGAAAATTCTCATCTTGAAGTGACATTATGCAAGACATTAATGATTATCTAATGGATTTATTATTCAAACCTCTCCTCTCTATTTTACAGACCAACAGATCATCTAAACCCATTGTGAGCATTAAGCAGAATTGCTAATCCCAGTAGCTCCCACAGTGACCAGCATCTCCAACCCAGCTTGTCCTTAAATGACTCAAATTTTAGCCTAGAGAAAGTATTTCTGTTTGTGTTTTCAGCTAGCTAGACCAATTCTTGCTGGTCTGGTGGTTACTCCAGCAAGCCTTACAATGACTCAAGTAAGCCCTATCTTTACATGATGCTTCATGCTCCTTCCTAAAACTTCATAAAAATCAGCCTTACTTGTGCTTAGGTCTTAATCACGTACTCACTTTGCATGATCCTTATTTTGACCTCCTGCTTGCATTGCCCTCCTCCATTGTGTTTTTACTATTTGCCTCCTAAGATGAGGTCATCAAAACCAAGGGCTGTAACTTAAAAGTATAAGCACTCATTTCTTTAACACACTCTAAATCTTTCTCTTATCAGTTATTTCTGTGCAGATAAAAATATTTTTTCTTGTTCTATTGAATATTTTACCTGTTCTATTCTACCTTTACACTGAAGTCTATTTATTTATATGTTTAAAGAAAAATACTGTCTGATGTATATGAAGCAAAATAGGTATGTTCTGCTTTCACTTTTTTTTTTTTTTTTTGGGGGGGGGGTGGGAAGGGAAAAAGTTTTAAAATGCTTAGGGGACTCATTTACAAGGGAAATGCTCCTCTAACCTAGTTAATGACTGAGTTAGGTGGGAGGGGGTTATGGGAGCATTGTCCCAGAGCCAGCAAGTGGTAAGCAAATTAATTGGTTGGTGGTTAGGGGAAAGTAAAAGACTTTTAGGACTGGTTAAAACAGAATGAATTGTTGTATGCTGCTCACTGTCGGCTACACATGAGTGCATGAATCTATTGCACTCATTCCTATGATCTTCAAAGTGTTCAGAAGACCTTAAATGACACCTGTCATTTAAGGATTTTTTTCAGCAGCAAGTTTTCAAAGTAGAGCAGAAAACCTGGAATTGTTTATATATTGACTTTAGGGAAACTGTCATAAACTAATAAATGTGTTTTCTACTACAATTAGGTAAAATATATATGCTTTGTAGTAGTGTTTGCTGCTAAATATGCACAAACACCCGCATTCTTATAATTTCAGAATTCTTTTTAGCATAGAATCACAGAATCATCTAGGTTGGAAGAGACCTCCAAGATCACAGAGTCCAACCTCTGACCTAACGCTAAACCATATCACTGAGCACTAAATCTAAACATCTTTTAAAGATCTCCAGGGATGGTGACTCAGCCACTTCCCTGGGCAGCCCATTCCAATGCCTAACAACCCTCTCAGTAATGAAGTTCTTCCTAATATCCAACCTAAACCTCCCCTGGTGCAGCTTTAGCCCATTCCCCCTCATCCTGTCACCAGGCACCTGGGAGAATAGACCAACTAACTCCCACCTCACTACAACCTCCTTTAAGGTACCTGTAGAGAGCGATAAGGTCACCCCCTAGCCTCCTCTTCTCCAGGCTGAAAAGCCCCAGCTCCCCTAGCCACTCCTTATAAGACTTGTTCTCCAGAGCCTTCACCAGCTTCGTTGCCCTTCTCTGGACTTGCTCGAGCACCTCAATGTGAGGGGCCCAAAACTGAACACAGTACTCGAGGTACTCACCACAGTACTCGCGGCCTCACCAGAGCCGAGTACAGGGGGACAATCACTTCCCTAGCCCTGCTGGCTACACTGCTTCTCTTGCAAGCCAGGATGCTGTTGGCCTTATTCTGTCTGATAAATTACTGGGCTGGCACTGTTTATGTGTGAAACTGTTGTTTAGGAAGGCAAAGACTATCCTTGGCACTAGGGTGCTATACCAATATAAAGAAAATCATTTTGTGCTGTCGAAGTTGATCTTGTACATAATGTCTCTATTTTAAATCCTTTTGACTATACTTGGTAAGAACCATCTACTCGCCTTTTATGAATTAATTTGTTAATATAGTTATGGCATTACTATTCAAGCACTAGTTAGCTGTTTATTTATTAATTTACTTATTTATTTATTTACCATTGGTTATGCTTAATAAAACTGAAATTTAGTTAAAAAAAAATCTTGTTTAGAATTTTGAGTGATTGCAGGGCAAAATCTGCATAGCTCTTGTATATTCTAGTGGATACACAGACACCATCTGTTGAGAATGGTAGCCATATGGTGAACTATTTATAGAAAATGTTTATATTCATTGTGTTGTTGATTATCTAGATATCCAGAAAATGCTCTTTTAAAATCCAGTTTATCAACACATGGAAAAATGCATTATGTAGTTTTGAGATTGAAAAGAATGTCAGCAAACTGCATGCATTTTGTTGCTTGTGAAGGATTTTTATGTAACTGTACAGAAGCCCAAGTCTGAGAAATGAAGATACCATACATATGATAAGGTAGCAAGTTCTTTGAAAATTTTCTTCGTAGTAGAAACAAATGGTGGAAGAGGAGTTACTGGCATGTTGCCAAGAGAGAGGCCATATCTGCATGGCAGAGCATGCCAGTGTTATGTCTAATGTGCTTTTGCATGTGTTAGTCAAGCCTTCTTCTAAACTGCAGATGCTCCTAGACCTTTTGTATCCACACTGCCAGATATTGATAATCAATATTGTTGTTAAAGCTACATGTCAACTATTAATGATGTGTTGCTGGGGAACTGTGATGCCATTAATACTGCAGTAATTACCACCTGCTTGGTGAGACTATAATGGATGCCCTTATGATGTATATGTGAACAGGCTTTCTAATATACATGGGAGGCTAGCAAATACAGTATCAGACTGTTACCAAATCAGAAGAAACAGGTGAAAGGTGTTAATTCCTTACTGCACATCTCTTGGTTGGGCACAGATTAAGGTTTAAATCCTGGTGCTGGATCAAAAAAGGAGGAGACAAAAAAAAAAAAAAGAGTTCCTTGAATTTTTGGATAGGCAAGGTCTCTTTTCCATAAATAAGCTGGTCAAGGAGAAGTTTTATGTCAGATCCGTCAACATAAGAATTATCCTCCTTCTGCTTATCTTCTTCTGATACAACTAATGAAACTACACTCTGATCTCAAAGGATCTGTCAAAAACAGCTTAGTACCCTGCCTGGCAGTTTTAAAGTATTGGCGACAGAATGTATATTGCTAAGCAAAAGGAAAGATGATACTCTGTAAATGCTATCTGAATGCCACTTCATCCACTATTATGGATACAACTTTAGCACAAATTGCACAGGAAAGTGAGGTGAAAGGTGAGATTTCCCATATGTAGTATGTTTCAGACTTTTCTGTTTGTTACCAGTCTATCTCTTCTGCAGACATGTTGATGAATCCTATGAATAAAACAATATTCTCCAATAACTGATGCTAAAAAGGAAAGGACTGATATATCAGTCATCAGTTAATGTAAA